TATTTTGCTAATAAGGATGTTGTGTAGTTGAGCTATCAATATGGGAATTCCAGAAATTTAAATGGCTATTTGTGAGGGGGGGTATAGCCTAGTATTCAGCATTGCAAATTAGTCTTCTGACTAGAGATAGCCCACTTTTCTCCTGATATATCAATTGGGAGAAAATATTTTTGTTATCTTTTAAGTCAAATTCCAGCATCTATGATCCAGTATTTATTTATGCGTCTATATACAATCTCTGTAGACTTTGGCCTATATTATAATTTAGACACAATGTCATTTTTGGTCTCAGAACAAAATCCTTGTTAACATAATTCTCAATTCTAATGCTCATAGGTTGAAAAAAAATCCCACATCTTCTTTAATCTTACTATTCTTGCAATGATTTACACTAGACCTGAGTTCCACAAGTGATTTGTTGGAATCCAGTTCACCATTTTTCATGGATTCATCTTAGATATGGGGTATTGGCAGGCCTGGGGGAAGAAACATCTCAGATAATCCCTTTCTCTAATTGTACAAATGTATTGGATCAGGAACAATGGGTAAATTTCCCCTGGACTAAATACAACTGTTCACTGAGTTATTCCTGCTGCCTTAGCGAAGTTAATGGACTTGCTGCCTGATATGACAAGACCCACCAATTGTTACAAGGACAAGGACTTAAATTTGCCTCAGCTGCAGCATTCCTGTCTTGAAGTCAAAAGGTCATGAGTTCAAGTCTCTACCAGAGACCTACATGTATAATCTGTTTTATGCTGTAGAGGAGTACAGTATTGTCAGAGGTCTTGCCTTGTGCTGAGGTCTAAAATGGTGGCCTATCTTGTTCACTCTGATGTAAAAGATCCCATGACTCAATTTTGAAGGAAAGTGGTGGATATCTGTCAATATTGCTTATCTGACAGATCCCATCTGTCCTGGCCAATGTTTATTCTCTCGATCAACACTAAACTCATCCGATCATTGTCTCATTGTTTTCTGAGAGACTTTGCTGTGTGCAAATTGGTTTCTACTTCTTCCTATATTGAAAGTGGCCACTTCAAAAGTACTTAATTGGCTTTTAACTATTTGGGACACCCTGAGCTTATGAAAGATGTTTTTTGATGCAAATCTTTTATTTATCCACTCTTGAAACCAATGTATAAACAGCATAACTCAGGAATAAAATTCATGGCCATCAGTACACCATGGCCTTGAATTTATTCACTGTGCCATTCAAGAAACTTTCATTCATCAATTCAACTAAATGCAAAAGAAAATCTTCAGCACACAAGCCAATTACATAGTTTTGGAAGAAAATCGTTCTCTAGAATTGAAAGGGCATTAAATAGCCGGAAGCATTTTTTTCAAACATAAGGTACACTATCTTTCATCAGCTGCAATAATATATACAAGTAACTTGGATAAAGAACATAAGCAACTGTCCTCTTCTAAAGTTGAGTGATAGCAATGCAAGGTTTCTTCTGTACTGATGGATGCTGTACACATGAAATATTAACTTGAATGTTCCACTACAGGTGACGATTGACCTGTAAGATGTTATTGCATGCTTACCTGTCTAATTCTGTGACAGTTGATCCAGTGGAATATGCCAGTTCACTCTGAACCTGGCCCTATAGAAGATCTATGCTTGGACATATATTTGAATCGCACACAATTTCCAGCATGTAAATCTAACGATAAAATGAGCTGTACATAAAATGTCATGTGCAGTCAGCCCTATTTAATCCAGAATACTTTCATTTAGATTTTGTGATTACCCAACTTCTCCTCTGGGAATAGTTAAGGGTAGTACATTTTATACTCGCTAATCTAGTAAACACAGGGCTGAATTTGTTTTACTAAGTGCTCATTACTCCAATAATCTAGCTGTACTTGGTTTATCAAGGTAATAAGCGCTGGGTACCACAGATAAAAGTTGTGGTGTAATGACAGAATGTTGAAGTGGAAGGCAGGTAAACGGAGCTTGCTTCCTATCACTCGCTGACTTTTCACAAGTGTTGATCACCAGTTACACTACTGCTGCAAAACTCAGAGCTATGCATCAAGACTAGTGAACCATGTATTATGCTGACCAGAGATCAGAATCAAATATATTCACTTGGGGACACAGTTGGGAAACTCTGTGCTGCTTAACTGGATTGAGGGTAAAAGTTTCCAGTCAAACTTATTTGCATTCCACCAACTTGTGGAATTACTTGTGAACCATCATAACAGAGGATCATAAGCAAGTGTCTTCACTGAAAACAGGGGAAGCGCCGACAAAAAGTCAGCGAGAAAATTTTAGATTTCGTTTGATATTTAAGATGGAAAGGTATGAGGGTATGCCTCTTTCCAGAGCAAACAGCCAAGATGACCTGAGTTATCTGATTAATTAACTCCATGATAAGCAGCACTGAGCAAGTTAAATCTGAATATTATTCAAACTGATTTGGGAAACTACAATGGTCTGATGAACTTTCACTTTAAGTCATGTGTTAAGCTTTCAAGTTGATCATTTTGAACTGGCGCAAATTGATTTTAAAAACTGAATTCAACCAAATGATTGATTTAAATAAATATTAACTTCAACAGTGCATATGTTTTAAGAACAGTGATGGCTGTTTTCAGTCTGAGCAATTTCTCCCTCCCTGAAGATGACTGATTCAAATAAAAGCCTAAAGAACTGCAGATGCTGTAAAGCAGGAACAAAAACAAAGTTGCTGGAAAGGCTCAGCAGGTCTGGCAGCATCTGTGAAGGAAGAAACAGAGCTAACGTTTCGAATCTGAGGAAGGGTCACTGGACCTGAAACGTTAACTCTGTTTTTTCCTTCACAGATGCTGCCAGACCTGCTGAGCGTCTCCGGCAATTTTGTTTTTGTTATGACTGATTCAAAGATGTTGAAGAATATCTGCGAGTGAACCTTCAAAACCGAAGTATGGACTTTCCAGGCCTCCTTGATGGGTTAGAGGCAGAATGTTTGGGTTCCAGTCGTCATGGGCAGTGAGCCGGCCTGCCTGCAGGAAGGTGGTAGAGGTCCATATTGATCACTAGGACAGCATCCTGTCAATCACTCAGACTGACCCCACCCTAGACACCCAGCTATCCTTGACCAACCCTCCCCTACTCCCTGAAACAAGCAATCGTCCGACACCTGTGCTACCCTAACCCTCACCCACTTTCCTACCACCTGACCTCCCCCATTCAATTACCTGCCACCCTAACCCCTCACTCACTTTCCTGCCACCATAAACTATTGCCTGTCTCGCACCCTACTTCCCCTCCCACTTACCTGCAACCCTGTTCTAACACTCACCTTTCTTTTCTCCTGGTCAAAAAGGCTTTTAGAGCTTTAAACTGTGGAATATGGCAGTTGTTGCAGTAAAGAGGTGTGCTTTGGCCTCCAGTGCTGATTATATGCTGTGCTGGAAGACTCCCACAGCAGGGAGGCTCTGTGATTTTCAAGAGATCTGAATTGGGCACTCAGGCCAGAAAGGCGGAGCTTCAGGGCAGGGTAAGTCAAAAGAAGCAGAAAGGCAATCCAAATGTGATTGCTGTGACGATACCATAGCTTTAAGAGGTGTATGTTGTCCTGTTTTTTTTTGTGAAATGAAGTTCAGACAGAAGCGACGAGCAGTCTGCATCAATCCAATAAACAGCATGTGATGCCTTGTTTTTTTTTAAACATTGGAACAATGAAAGCAGCCTGAATGGGTGGGGTCAAGTTCCCAAAGAACCAGGAGTTTTAGTTTAGCTTTCAGTAGCTGTTGGTTTGTGAATGCTGCTACATCTTTCTCTCTCTCTGTTACAGTTAAAAGCTGGGGTTCTCTTCCTGCTGTTAGAATTGCATGTGCCACAATCTGTTTTCCTGACTTTGCCTTTGCCAAGGGTGTGCTTATGGGATGTTACTACATTAGAAGAGTAAATGAGTAGTATATCATTTTGTTGAGTATTTCATAGAGTTACAGTTAAGCAATTTTTTTTATTTTCATTTTTGCCTGCATTTTAGCTATAGTGTACGAATAAAGTGTGTTTTGCTTCAAGACTGGTAATTTGACCAATCAAATTGCATCCACAATGCAACATCTGGCACTTGCCTTTAAAATAACTAACGTTTAGGGTCTAGGATATCTCCTTGACGTGTCGTAAAGGTGTTTTTTCTGGTCCATAACATTGCCACTTAAGAGTCATAGAAACATAGAGATACACAGCACAGAAACAGACCCTTTGGTCCAACTTATCCATGCTGACCAGATGTCCTATATAAATCTAGTTTCATTTACCAGCATTTGGCCCATATCCCTCTAAACCCTTCTTATTTGTGTACCCATCTAGACGCCTTTTAATTGTTGTAATTGTACCAGCCTCCACCACTTCCTCTGGCAGCTCATTCCATACACATACCACCCTCTGTGTGAAAAAGTTACCCCTTAGGTCCCTTTTATACCTTTCCCCTCTCACCTTAAACCTATGCCCTCTAGTTTTGGCCTCCTCCACCCCAGGGAAAAGACCTTACCTATTTAACCTATCCATGTTGCTCATAATTTTATAAACCTCTATATGGTCACCCCTCAGCCTATGATACTCCGGGGAAAACAGCCCCAGTCTATTCAGCGTCTCCCTATAGCACAAACCTCCAATCCTGGCAGCATCCTTGTAAATCTTTTCTGAACCCTTTCAAGTTTCACAACATCATTCATCTAGCATGGAGACAGAATTGCTCACAGTATTCCAACAGTGGCCTAACCAGCTGCAATGTGACCTCCCAACTCCTGTACTCAATGCACTGACCAATAAAGGCAAGCCTATCAAACACCTTCTTAACTATCCTATCTACCTGTGACTCCACTTTCAAGGAACCATGAACCTATATTCCAAGGTCTCTTTCATTAGCAACACTTCCCAGGACCTTACCATTAAGTATACAAGTCCTGCCCTGATTTGCCTTTCCATAATGCAGCACCTTCTTGGAGCATTCAGCTCAAGGTGAGTAAATGACAGTGCAAAGTAACAGGCCTACTTTCAAGTTGGAAGGCAATTTTTTTTATTGTTCTTCAAAAAGCAAATTGACAAAATGAATTCAGCAACTGGCTTTGAATGGATACTTTAAACCAGTTTGACCTAAAGATTTGTTTGCAAATTTGTCAACTTTTCCAGGTTTGTTCACAACAAAGAACTGACAAACCTATTCCTCCAACAAACATGCCAGACTATTAGCCTGCTCAAAATACTCAATGATGTAACATAATCCCTTCAAAACATGTCAATCTCTAGGAACAAAAATTAAATGCCCTAAAATAACAGTGAGTGAATGAGAAAGGCTCTCCATTTCATTTCAAGTAGATATGTTTTAGTTTAAATTTTGGGACTTTCAGACAAAGGAAATACTCTGCAAGTGAGCACCAAAACAAACTCAGAGCAGGCAAGTCCCAATAGGCCATTTAAATGCCATTATTTCACATAAAAGCTCATGAACATCCCTGGATATGGAACAATATCCAGAGAAACTGTGATGAAATATCGTTTAATTCAATGCTAGGTGGATACTTGGCAGAAACAGCAAACAAAATGAGAGGGTAGCTTACCACAGTTTTCAAACACCAAGAGTAGCCAGATGGACTGCAGTGGTATTTTTCAGTCCCATACATTAAACAGACCATTTAAAATGCTTCAGAAGTTATTTAAAAAGCCTGGGTAAACTCAGATGCATGCAATGATTTTGAATAGGAAGGGAAAAGCTACTGCAATAAGGTGCAGAGGAAATTCACAAACACAGTCACTTGTTGAAATAGAAACAATAATCAGGCCACCATAGGGTTGTGAGATAACAAGATGTAGAGCTGGATGAACATAGCAGGCCAAGCAGCATCAGAGGAGCAGGAAATGATGTTTCGGGCCTAGACCCTTCTTCAGAAATCATAGGGTTGTATTCAGCACAACAAAACGACTTCTGCACAAATTTTTAATTTAAAACATTGCTATGGCTTTATCCTTGTTAAGTGATTTCCCAAATATAAATCACTTTTTTTAATTTCCAATTACCCTTTTATCTTAAAAATAATATTTCAAATTACACTGAATGGACAGGAACCAGATCTGAATTGGAAGATACAAGTTTTCACAATGTACAAAGCACTTCAGTGGTATAAATTTTCTGAGAAATCCAGAATTATATTTTCACTCTCACTGTCTTTGATGAAATCCTCATGCTCAGAACAGCAGGGTACGGATGAAATGGGCTAATTTCTCAGTTCACCAGCACTCATAAGATTATCTCCCTCTCTGCCCACCCCACAAAAATAACAAAAGGATTCATTTGGTAATACAATAATAAAGTGTAGGAAAGCATTCATAAATAGTCGGCTAAGTTTCCTTCAGATACGCTTGTAGAGGAAAAGGTTCATGTAGAAAATCCTGCTGCTCAACTGGTCCTCATTCCACTCAACTGGCACTTGTCAATTTCTCTCCATCTGTTTGTTTCATACTGTACAATGGATCTACAAGTTTATTGTGAATGTGCAATAAACCTGGGAAAGGTATAAAAGCAAAACAAAAAAGAGATAAACATTGGAGCAAATCAAAACAAAACCACAGATAATTCTGTATTTATATAGAATATATAGCACTGTTAGTCTTGGAGAAAATTCTAAGGCATTTCACAGAAGCATTAGCAAATTGAATCAGTGAGCCTCAATGCCAGGAGAAGCATCAGGCGTACCTAAAAATTAGGTGTCAAACTCATGAACCTACAATACACAAATACATATGTGCCAACCAGCATACACAGCATGCGATAGACTGGGCTAAATGATCCCCCAATCGATAGATCAGGTCTGTGCTCCGCAATCCTGTAACATGCAGTTGTGAATGGTGATGAACAATTAAACAACTTACTGGATGTAGAGACTCCCCATTTATTGCCTTCAATGAAGGTGGGGGCAGCCCAACATATCAGTTGCAAAAGACGAGGCTAAAGCAGTTGAAGGCATCTGCAACTATAAGCACCAAGTGGACGGTCCTTCTTGGCTTCCTCCTCAGGTCCCTACCTTCACAAATGCCAGACTTCAGCCAATTGGATTCACTCTACATGATATTGAGAAATGGTTGAAGATGCTACATACTGTAAAGAATATAGGCCCCAACTACATTCCAGCAATAGTCCTTAAGACATGCCCAGAACTAGCTGCATTCCAAGCCAAGCCGTTCCAGTACAGTTACAACACTGCCACCTACCTGGCAATATTGAATACTACCCAGGGATTTCCCATCCACACTCCAGGACAAATCCAACCCAGGTAGTTTCTGCTACAACAGTCCACTGTCAAATATCAGCAAAGTGATGGAAGGAGTCTGCTTATGGCTACATACCTACTATCGCATCAGCACTGAAACTATATGTCTCAAAGGCTGATGGATTTTGTGAATGTCAAAAGTCAATCAGTTTATATTGGCAATGTAAACATTCCATCAATTAACACCAAAGATAGCCCACTCAGCACTTGACTGAATCTCATGCTTTCTTAGAAATGTGTTTATGATGCATCTAAATGACTTTCTGACCCTTTTTTGAAAAGTCATCTTCACAAAACTGAAACCAAAATCCATCACCTGCTGCATTAAACATTCAAATATTAAAATTATCAAACTTTATACGTTTATCACACCCCATATAATAACTTATACGTTCATTCCCTCTATTATGCACATACAATGACAGCAGGATCTACTATCTGAAAGGCATACTATGAAAACTCATCATGGCACCTTAGGCTGCACATTTCACTTAAAAAGACAAGGATAGCATATATATGGGAACAGAACCAATTGCAAGTTCTCCTCAAAGCTACACACTACCCTGACATGGAACTATATTGCCATTCACTCACTGTTGTTAAGTCAAAATCCTGGAACTCCTTCCCTTACAGCACTGTGAGTGTACATTTGCCACATGGGCTGCAGCAGTTCAAGATGGCAGCCTACTGCCAAAATTTTAAGGGCAATTAGAGACAGGCAATAACTATTTGCCTGACAAGTCACTGAATAAAAAAAACAAGAAATATGAGGATAGGTGACAATAGGTAAAGATAGGTAAAAGCTTGGCCACCTTAAAAGGAAGAGAAAAGTAGCAAAGGTGGAAACTTTGAGGGATAGAATTTGAGTTTTTTGGAATCGCACAACCAGCAAAAGAGGCTTTAACTGGCAGAGCATCCATATCTCAGAGGAATGTAGACCTGGTGGTGGGGGAGGGAGAATACGGAGGTGTTTGAAAACAGAACAGCATTGGAATAGTCAAGTCTGTAGAGGTGACAAAGGCAGGTATAAATACAACATACAAGCAGTGCAAAAAAGAAACCAATTATGTGGATTAAAATACAACTCCAAAAAACTAACCAATCTATTAATTGCAAACCTCTTATTTTAATATCCTACTTAATTTTAACCAGGGTGTTTCATATGATAGTCCTGTCCCTGCAGAAACAATTGACGAGCAATTAACCTGTAATTTCACAATGAAAGTCACAAGGTTGGGTGGAACAAAAATCCTATGCAACAACAAAAACATTTACTTGCTTTTCCTTAAGATTACAGATTATAAATGTAGGAACCCAATTCTCAAATATAACCATCTCAGCCTTTCTTGGAGAATGTAATCAGCTTCACAGCTTTGCACATCACGATGGGAGAACCATTACAATAAAAGTAAGCAGACTGCTTACTTATGTTGCATAAGCCAGATAAGTATCAGATGAAAAATATTGCATCGAATCTGTACAATGCCTGTGTCATCTGGGTTAATAAGAAATATGTATTCAAATACACTAGGCAGCCTCTTTATAAGAGGATAAGTAGTAATAAAGTTAGTTGCTTTATAAGTTTTTATGGTTGTACATTTTCCCTGAATTTTGTCAATGGCTGAAAATTCTTTTAAGGATCAACTACCTTTAAAATACTGTACTGTTTTTACACGAAGTTCCATGGTGGCGTCTTCATCACACACAAAGAGTGTTTTGGGGTGCTGCTGGAAAGCTGATACAGTCCACATGTGGTTTACACCATCTTCTATTGCTTTACACAGAGCCAAAGCTTTATGCACTCCTGTGATAAGGATCATCACCTAAAGTAATACAATAAAACTCAATAAGCACCTTCCATAAGTAATGGTGACTATATTGTTAATTATAGAAAGCTAGCAGTGAACTTTTTAAAAAAATCATTACATTGATTTGAACAGGAGGAAACAAAGAAGGGGTTGGTGGAGAGCCATAGAAATTGTGCAGGACAATTTTGCATCAGAGTCCAATACAACGCAGATTAACAGGACTCTTTTTTTCTACCACTTGCACACATGCCACAGTGCGATCTTCTGGACAAATGGCTATCAAGTTTTTAAAAAGTCAAATGTTAAATTCAAAGAAAAATTCCTTTTGTATAAAATCTATGAGGGCAATGAACAAATCAGAGGTAAGATGAAAACTTTTTAACATAAATGCAGTCAATTGCTATGCATCAAATGGTGATGAAAGCAGAGTCAATAACATTTTCAAAAGCAAATTAAATATATACTTAAATATTAAAAATCATTCAACAAATCAGATGCAGTTCTGCATTTACAGATCTTCAAAACTGCAACACCCGTTAATTAATGTTATTCAGAGGGGAAACAAGGCTAGAAAGTGAGAAACAGGGAATTCTCAAAAAGTACAAACCCTACAGGCAAATTTGATACATCAATACATCATTCCAATGGGCTGCTTTCAGGATCTAAAACAGGAACCATGCAGTTGCCTGCCATTTCTTTACCTCTCTAGCATCCATTACTGTCCCCACTCCAACAGTCAGGGCCAGGGTAGGGACTCTAGACAAATCTCCATCGAAGAATCGAGCGTTGGCCAATACTGTATCCATAGCCAATGTCTTCACTCTTGTTCGTGACACCAGGCTTGAGCCCGGTTCATTGAAAGCAATGTGACCATCTGGACCAATGCCTATTCGAAGCCAAAGAAAAAGAGTCTGAACCAAAGGTAATAACAAAGTTTTGACACAGCTCACCAGAAACATCGCCCAGGATCAATGCTATAGACCAGGGATTTGGGATAATTTTAAAACTGCTCCTCTCCAAAGAGCGGTCACAACGATAGAAGGTGAAGCAATGTCACACTGCTTCAGTCAAAACTATTCCAGTGCTGGCATTAAAATATATTATTGAACCAACATGAAGGATGCAATTCAGTGCATCCAACTAATGTATCTGATGGAACCCCTAAGGGAAGAAAGATACCTAATTTCTAAATTAGGCATGGTCTCTTTGACAATGATAAGAATGCCTCCACAGCAACTATAAAGCATTCTCTAACAGCAGATTACAGTTACATCTATCATTAATGCAGCATCAGCTTCAGAAAGAGGATATTATTTATCCAGGTCAGTGCACAATACCACCAACAAATAGTTCAATTCCTCCCGCTGCTTTAATTTTCTCTTCAAAAGCATCACATTCTGCCTCCAAGTCAGGAGCATTTCCATCTAGAATGTGTGTATTTTCAGCCAAGATGTCAACATGCTTGAAGAAATTGTTCCACATGAAGGAGTGATAACTCTGAGGATGATCCCGTGCAAGACCTGCAAGGAAAGTGCAATGTACAGTATTATGCAGTCATTAAGTATAAGCAACAATCAAATGCACTAGCACCAAATTCTAACACTCATGACCCCCACACACCCCATCCACATTTCAAAAGAAAGTAAGTAAACATTAAAGGAAATCTTGGAGCTTTGTAACATCTCAAAACCAATTCAGGACCGAGGCCAACCAAATTCTTGACCATGAGAATGCACCTGACCAACAAGAAAGAAGTCTGAATCTATTTGGTACAGCAATATATAGGGACTCGTTGTAGTCTCCATTTTATGGTCTCTGCTTAGTATTTTGTTAAAGTGAAGCATGTAGCAAAGATGGGACTGAGCTAAATCTAGTATTCTGAGTAATGACAACTTCACTGAAATACTTCATACTGCCCATCCACCTCATTTCGGTCTTCAATTAGGTTTAGAAAATAATTTAGATTTTAATGATAACATTATTTTATGTTTGAAGCACACCCAGGGATAATTATACACAGACAAATTTAGGCTGGAAAATTGGAATCACAAAATTGTTACAGTGCAGAAGGAAGCCATTCAGCCCATTGTGCCTGTGCTGGCTGTCCAAGTCAGCATTTCATTTGAAGCCAACTCTCCATGGACTTCACGTAAATGTCTCCATCACACATTAAGGCAGCATATTCCGGATCCAAACATCTCACTGCATGAAAGAAAGTTTCTCCTCATTTCTCCTTTTTTTTTGCCAATTGCCTTAGATCTGTGTCCTTTCATTCTTGATTCTTCTAGCAGTGGGATTATTTTTTCCCCATTCACTCTATCCAGACCTCTCACAATTTTGAATAACTTTATCAAATCTCCTGTTAACATTCTCCTAGGAAAACAGTGTCAATTTCTCCAATTCTATCCAAGTAATTGAAGTTTCTCATGTGTGGAACTATTCTAGTACATCTTTTCTCCATCATCTCTAATGCCTTGACATCATTCCTAAAGTGCAGCAAACAACTGCTTGCCATATTTCTGTTAAGATTGAACCAGTTTAAGTTTAACATACTTCCTTACTCTTGTACACTATCCCCTATTAAAGCCAATGACACCCTCTGCTTTAAAAACTCTCTCAACCTCTCAAAGATCTACATAAATATACAACCAGATTCCTCTGTCCCTGTACCCTCTTCAAATTTGTACCTTTTATGTTATATGATTTATCAATGTTCTTCCTACCAAAATTAATCACTTCATACTTCTCTGCCACTTCCAATTTCATCTGCTATTTATCCACCCCTTTCATTACCTTCCCTACATTCTTAAGTCCTACACTATGCTCCTAACAGTTCAGAATGCTTCCAAGTTTTGTATCATCTGTAAATATTGAAATTGTGCCCTATACATCATTGTCTAGGTCACTACTCTGTAGAAGGGATAGCAAGGGTCCCAACTCTGATCCATGAAGTGCACAATAATAAACCTTCCTCCAGTCCAAAGAATAGCCAAAAGCACACAACTGGCTCCTGGAACACAGCCAATTGTACATTAACGTTGCTACTGTCTCTTATTCCATGAGCTATAATTTGCTGTGGTGTGTGTTGTGTAGCAATGTATTAAAGGTCTCTTAGTAGTATGCGCACACCACATCAACAGCATTACCCTCATCATTCTACTCTGGAAATACTTCGAAAAAAATCCCAGCAAGTTAGTTAAACACAACTTTCTCTCAACAAATTCAAGTTGGCTTGCCTTAATTAATCCATATTTTCCCAAGTAACTATTAATTTTGTCCTAAGTTATTGTTTCTATGAGCTTCACCACCAGTTAAATTAAACTGATTGATCTGTAGTTGCTGTGCTTCTATTTTCATCGTTTTTTGAACAAGAATTTGAAATTCTCCAGTCCACCGGCTTTGCCCAAGTCTACAAACACTGGAAAATTATGGCCAGTTCCTCTCCGATTTCCAAATCACTTCCTTCAATATTCCTCACTGTAATTCATCTGGTCCCAGTTCCTTAGCAACATACGACAGAAACTTTTCCTTGAGATTTCTGCCCAAAGGTCGGTGCACCACACAGTACCATGTCTTTCTCCGAAGGTATAGCAAGAAACCATCACTGATGAAAAATCCACCCCAGCTAGAACAGGGATTAAACCCTAACCTGATCCACATGACTCATCTAATCAACTAAGCAGCAGGCAACTAAGGAGTCTGAATTGCTGTGGCAACATACACTTTTGCATTCACATTTAAGCCTGGACTATGTATGTGATGGATCCAATTCTTTTCCATCACGAGGCAGGCCAGAATCTCTAATATAACAAGGTGTAGAGCTGGATGAACACAGCAGGCCAAGTAGCATCAGAGGAGCAGGAAAGCTGACGTTTCGGGTCTGGACACTTCTTCAGAAATGGGGGAGGGGAAGGGGATTCTGAAATAAATAGAGAGAGAGGGGGTGGCGGATGGAAGATGGATAAAGGAGCAGATAGGTGGAGAGGAGACAGACAGGTCAAGGAGGCAGGGATGGAGCCAGTAAAGGTGAGTATAGGTGGCGAGGTAGGGTGGAAGTTGGTCAGTCCAGGGAAGATGGACAGGTCAAGGAGGCGAGGATGAGGCTGGTAGGTAGGAGGTAGGGGTGGGGATTGAGGTGGGAGGAGGGGATAGGTGGGAAAAAGGACGGACAGGTTAGGGAGGCGGGGACAAGCTGGGCTGGTTTTGGGATGCGGTCAGGGGCACAGAGATTTTGAAGCTTGTGAAGTCCACACCGATACCACTAGGTTGCAGGGTTCCCAAGCAAAATATGAGATGCTGTTCTGCAATCTTCGGGTGGTATCGTTGTGGCACTGGAGGAGGCCCAGGATGGACATGTCGTCCGAGGAGTGGGAGGGGGAGTTGAAATGGTTCGCGACTGGGAGGTGCAGTCGTTTGTCGCAAACCGAGCGTAGGTGTTCCATAAAGCGGTTTCCAAGCCTCCGCTTGGTTTCCCCGATGTAGAGGAGGCCACATCGGGGACAGCGGATACAATATACCACATTAGCAGATGTGCATGTGAACATCTGTTCGATGTGGAAGGTTTTCTTGGGGCCTGGGATGGGGGTGAGGTGTAGCACTTCCTGCGGTTGCAGGGAAAAGTGCCGGGGGTGGTGGCGAGTGTGGAGCGGACAAAGGAGTCACGGAGAGAGTGGTCCCTCCGGAAGGCAGATAAGGGTGGGGAGGGAAAAATATCATTGGTAGTGGGGTCAGATTGCAGGTGGCGGAAGTGCCGGAAGATGATGCATTGGATCCGGAGGTTGGTGGGGTGGTACGTGAGGACGAGGGGGGTTTTAGTTATTATTGCGGGGAGGGTGTGTGAGGGATGAGTTGCGGGAAATGCGAGAGACACGGTCGAGGGCGTTTTCGACCACTGTGAAGGGGAAGTTGCGGTCCTTGAAAAACGAGGACATCTGGGATGTCCGGGAGTGGAATGCCTCACCTCCAGAGCAGATGTGGCGGAGGCGAAGGAATTGGGAATAGGGGATGGCATTTTTGCAGGAAGGTGGGTAAGAGGAGGTGTATTCTAGGTAGCTGTGGGAATTGGTAGGCTTGAAATGGATATCGGTTTCCAGGTGGTTACCAGAGATGGAAACAGAGAGGTCCAGGAAGGAGAGGGAGGTATCAGAGATGGTCCAGGTGAACTTAAGGTTGGGGTGGAAGGTGTCAGTGAAGTGGATGAACTGTTCGCGCTCCTTGTGGGAGCACGAGGCGGCGCCGATACAGTCATCGAGGTAACGGAGGAAGAGGTGGGGGATAGGGCCAGTGTAGCTTCAGAAGAGGGATTGTTCCATGTACTTTACAAAGAGGCAGGCATAGCTTGGGCCCATGCGGGTACCCATGGCCACGCCCTTTGTCTGTAGGTAGTGGGAGGAATTCAAGGAGAAGTTGTTAAGGGTGAGGATGAGTTCAGCTAAGCTGAACAGCCAGCTGTCGTGGTGCATTTAGGCACCAATGATATAGGTAAAAAACAGGATGCGATCCTATAAGCAGAATTTAGGGAGGTAGGAGCCAAGTTAAAAAGTAGAACCTCAGAGGTGGTAATCTCAGGATTGCTACCAGTGCCACGTGCTAGTCAGAGTAGAAATGAAAGAATAGGCAGGATAAATGAGTGGCTTGAGAGATGGTGCAGGGGGGAGGGGTTCAGATTTTTGGGACATTGGGAACCGGTTCTGGGGGAGGTGGGATTATTACAAATCAGATGGTCTACACCTGGGCAGGACTGAAACCAATGTCCTAGAGGGTGCTTTTGATAACACTGTTGGGGAGGGTTTAAACTAATGTGGCAGGGGGAAGGGAACCAAATGGGGAGGTTAGTGGACAGTAAGGAGGGAGTAACTAAAGCCTGTAAGGAACTAGATAATGAAGTCAGTGTAACTAAGGGGAAGAGTAGGCAGAGAGCAGATGATGAACACAAAGGGACAGGTGGTCTGAGGTGCATTTGTTTTAATGCGAGAAGTGTAGTAGGTAAGGCAGATGAACTTAGGGCTTGGATTAGTACCTGGGAGTATGATATTATTGCTATTACTGAGACTTGGTTGAGGGAAGGGCAAGATTGGCAACTAAATATCCCAGGATATAGATGCTTCATGCGGGATAGAGAGGGAGGTAAAAGGGGTGGAGGAGTTGTATTACTGGTCAAAGAGGATATCACAGCTGTGCTGAAGGAGGGCACTATGGAGGACTCGAGCAGTGAGGGAATTTGGGCAGAGCTCAGAAATAGGAAGGGTGCGGTAACAATGTTGGGGCTGTACTATAGGCCTCCCAACAGCGAGCGTGAGATAGAGGTACAAATATGTAGACAGATTATGGAAAGATGTAGGAGCAACAGGGTGGTGGTGATGGGAGATTTTAATTTTCCCAACATTGACTGGGATTCACTTAGTGTTAGGGGTTTAGATGGAGCAGAATTTGTAAGGAGCATCCAGGAGGGTTTTATAGAGCAGTATGTAAATAGTCCAACCCGGGAAGGGGCCATTCTGGACATGGTGTTGGGGAATGAGCCCGGCCAGGTGGTTGAAGTTTCAGTAGGGGATTACTTTGGGAATAGTGATCACAGTTCCATAAGTTTTACAATACTCATGGACAAAGACGAGAGTGGTCCTAAAGGAAGAGTGCTAAATTGGGGGAAGGTCAACTATAGCAAGATTCGACAGAAGCTGGAGAATGTGGATTGGGAGCAGCTGTTTGAGGGTAAATCCACATTTGATATGTGGGAGGCTTTTAAAGAGAGGTTGATGAGAGTGCAGGACAGACATGGCCCTGTGAAAATGAGGGATAGAAAGGGCAAGATTAGGGAACCATGGAGGACAGGTGAAATTGTGAGACTAGCAAAGAGGAAAAAGGAAGCATACATAAGATCTAGGCAACTGAAAACAGACGAAGTTTTGGAAGAATATCAGGAAAGTAGGACCAATCTGAAACAAGGAATTAAGAGGGCTAAAAGGGGTCATGAAATATCTTTAGCAAACAGGGTTAAGGAAAATCCCAAAGCCTTTTATTCGTACATAAGGAGCAAGAGGGTAACTAGAGAAAGGGTTGACCCACTCAAGGACAAACGAGGGAAGTTATGCAAGGATTCGGAGAAAATGAGTGAGATTCTTAATGAGTACTTTGCATCGGTATTCACCGAGGAGAGGTACATGACGGATGTTGAGGTTAGGGATAGATGTTTGATTACTCTAGGTCAAGTCGGCATAAGCAGGGGAGAAGTGTTGGGTATTCTAAAGGGCATTACGGTGGACAAGTCCCCAGGTCCGGATGGGATCTATCCCAGGTTACTGAGGGAAGTGAGTTAAGAAATAGCTGGGGCCTTAACAGATACCTTTGCAGCATCCTTGAGCACGGGTGAGGTCCCGGAGGACTGGAGAATTGCTAATGTTGTCCCCTTGTTTAAGAAGGGTAGCAAGGATAATCCAGGTAATTATAGACCGGTGAGCCTGACATCAGTGGTGGGGAAGCTGCTGGAGAAGATACTGAGGGATAGGATCTATTTACATTTGGAAGAAAATGGGCTTATTAGTGATAGGCCGCATGGTTTTGTGCAGGGAAGGTCATGTCTTACCAACTTGATAGAATTCTTGGAGGAAGTGACAAAGTTGATAGATGAGGGAAGGGCTGGAGATGTCATATACATGGACTTCAGTAAGGCGTTTGATAAGGTTCCCCGTGGTAGGCCGATGGAGAAAGTGAAGTCGCATGGGGTCCAGGGTGTACTAGTAGATGGATAGAGAACTGGCTGGGCAACAGGAGACAGAGAGTTGTAGTGGAAGGGAGTTTTTCAAAATGGAGAACTGTGACCAGCGGTGTTCCACAGGGATCCATGTTGGGACCACTGTTGTTTGTGATATACATAAATTATCTGGAGGAAGGTATAGATGGTCTGATTAGCAAGTTTGCAGATGACACTAAGATTGGTGGAGTAGCAGATAGTGAAGGGGACTGTCGGAGAATGCAGCAGAATATAGATAGATTGGAGAGTTGGGCAGAGAAATGGCAGATGAAGTTCAATCCAGGCAAATGCGAGGTGATGCATTTTGGAAGATCCAATTCAAGAGCTAACTGTATGGTAAATGGAAAAGCCCTGGGGAAAATTGATACACAGAGATCTGGGTGTTCAGGTCCATTGTACCCTGAAGGTGGCAACGCAGGTCGATAGAGTAGTCAAGAAGACGTACGGCATGCTTTCATTCATCGGACGGGGTGTTGAGTACAAGAGTTGGCAGGTCATGTTACAGTTGTATAGGACTTTGGTTCGACCACATTTGGAATACTGCGCACAGTTCTGGTCGCTGTATTACCAAAAGGATGTGGATGCTTTGGAGAGGGTGCAGAGGAGGTTCACCAGGATGTTGCCTGGTATGGAGGGCGCTAGCTATGAGGAGAGGTTGAGTAGGTTAGGATTATTTACATTAGAAAGACGAAGGCTGAGGGGGGACCTGATTGAGGTCTACAAAATCATGAGAGGTATAGACAGGGTGGATAGCAAGAAGCTTTTTCCCAGAGTGGGGGACTCAATTACTAGGAGTCACGATTTCAAGGTGAGAGGAGAAAAGTTTAAGGGAGATATGCGTGGAAAGTTCTTTACGCAGAGGGTGGTGGGTGCCTGGAACGCGTTGCCAGCGGAGGTGGTAGAGGCGGGCACAATAGCGTCATTTAAGATGTATCTAGACAGATACATGAAAGGGCAGGGAGCAGAGGGATACAGATCCTTGGAAAATAGGTGACAGGTTTAGATCGAGGATCTGGATCAGCGCTGGCTTGGAGGGCCGAAGGGCCTGTTCCTGTGCTGTAATTTTCTTTGTTCTTTGTTCTAAATGGATAAGGGTGTCAGTGAAGGGGGACTGGTCGGGCCTGCTGGCCAGAAAGAAGCGGAGGGCCTTTATGCCATCTGCATGGGGAATGCAAGCATGTAGGGACTGGATGTCCATGGTAAAGATGAGGTGTTGGGGACCAAGGAATCTGAAGTTTTGGAGGAGGTGGAGGGCGTGGGTGGCGTCATGGACATAGGTGGGGAGTTCCTGGACCAAGGGGAAGAAAATGGAGTCAAGATAAGTGGAGATAAGTTCGGTGGGGCAGGAGCAGGCAGAGACAATGGGTCGACCAGGGCAGTCAGGTTTGTGGATTTTGGGAAGGAGATAGAAATAGGTGGGGCAAGGTTGGGGAATGATGAGGTTGGATGCTGTGAGTGGGAGGTCACCTGAGGTGATGAGGTTGTGGATGGTCTGGGAGATGATGTTTTGGTGGTCGGGGGTGGGGTCATGATCAACGGGGCGGTAGGAGGAGGTGTCAGAGAGCTGGCGTCTGGCCTCGGCGATGTAGAGGTCAGTGCGCCATACTACAAATGCGCCACCCTTGTCCGTGGGTTTTATAGTGAGGTTGGGGTTGGAGCGGAGGGCTGCACGTTCTGTATGGGAGAGGTTGGAGTGGGTGAGAGGGGTGGAGAGGTTGAGGGATGTGGCCTCCTCTACATTGGGGAAACCAAGTGGAGGCTTGGAGACTGCTTTGTGGAACACCTACGCTCGGTTCCTGACAAACAACTGCACCTCCCAGTCGCGAACCATTTCAACTCCCCCTCCCACTCCTTGAACAACAATGTCCATCCTGAGCCTCCTCCAGTGCCACAACGATGTCACCCGAAGGTTGCAGGAACAGAACCTCATATTTCGCTTGGGAACCCTGCAACACAGTGGTATCAGTGTGGACTTCACAAGCTTCAAAATCTCCCCTCCCCCGACTGCATCCCAAAACCGGCCCAGCTTGTCCCCACCTCCCTAACCTGTCCGTCCTTTCTCCCACATATCCACTCCTCCCACCTCAATCCCCACTCCCATCTCCTACCTACCAGCGTCATCCCCGCCTCCTTGACCTGTCCATCTTCCCTGGACTGACCAACCCCCACCCTACCTCCCCACCTACACTCACCTTTACTGGCTCCATCCCCGCCTCCTTGACCTGTCCGTCTCTCCTCCACCTATCTGCTCCTTTATCCATCTTCCATCCGCCTCCCCCTCTCTCTCTATTTATTTCAGAATCCCCTTGCCCTCCCCCATTTCTGAAGAAGGGTCCAGACCCGAAACGTCAGCTTTCCTGCTCCTCTGATGCTGCTTGGCCTGCTGTGTTCATCCAGCTCTACACCTTGTTATCTCAGATTCTCCAGCATCGGCAGTTCCTACTACCTCCAGACCAGAATCTCTTTTGCTCTTACTGCTTTGCATTGGTATATAGAGTCATAGATTCACAAGCACGGAAACAGACCTCTCGGTTCAACCGTCCATGCCGACCATAATCCCAAACTAAACTAGTCCCAGATCTTCTGACTCAAAGGCAGCAAATGGCCCACTGTGCCACAAGACCCCATTACAGAAAATAACAGGGAATAATTTCTAGTTTCACAACTCAAGTCACTTGTTCAGAATTTTTCAACATATAACGGTTGTATTATACCATACTCACCTACATATTCATCCATGTTAAATGTCTTCACATATCTAAATGATAGATCCCCATTCTTATAATATTCAATTAGTTTTTTATAGCTTCCCAAAGGAGTGTCTCCTGCAGAAAGACATTTAAAAAAACTACTGCACAAGAATTCTGCAGGGTTGCAAGCAGTTAAACAGACTAAATTCATGACCCACATTTACAGTCTCTCCCACCCGTAGAACATTAACAAAGATCAACCATTTAGTCAGTTTTGGTTTGAAAGAAAAGCTCTGTGATAGCAATGAATATTGATGCAAACTGAACATTTCACAAAATATACAATCATCCTTTATCATTAAGTTTATTTACAGAACACCAGTTCACTGACTTGGCCTTTTAGAGATAAGTGACAGGTGGGCTGGAAATTCAATGTGGAGTCAGGAACCCACCAACAGAATAAATTCTATGTCCTAAACCCACACCCAAGCTGCACTGCTCTTGAAGTGTGATTTTTAGATGTAAATTATCTAATTAGTCAGAAGGTAACTTCAGTGCCTCTGACACCGCCAAGACAGGAGGTTCCCCATGTTGTTGTGGGGGTGAGGTGGGGGGCGGAGTGCTACACTTGCCCCCACACCTCACCCCTCACCTCCATCCAAGGACCCAAAAAAACTTTCCACATCAGACAGATGTTTACCTGCACATCCGCTAATGTGGTCTATTGCATCCGCTTCTTCCAATGTGGCCTCCGCTACATCAGTGAGACCAAGCGGAGGCTTGGAGACAGCATTACAGAGAACCTGCACTCTGTTCACGACAAACGACAACACCTTCCAGTTGCGGACCACTTCAACTCCCCCTCCCACTCCCTGGCCCACATGTCCGTCCTGGGCCTCCTCCAGTATCACAATGACACCACCTGGAAACTGGGGGAGCAGCACCTCATATTCCGCCTTGGGAGCCTACAACCCAGTGGTCTCAATGTTGACTTTACTGGTTTAAAATTCTCCCCTTCTCCGGCCTCATCCCATGACCAACCCTCCCTCTCATCCCCGCCTCCGTGACCTGTCCATCTTCTCTCCCACCTATCCGCTTCTCCCAACTCACTTACCAATCTCCACCATTCCCTACCTGAACTCACCTATCACCATCCCAACTACCTTCCCCAGCCCCACCCCTCCTTTCTCTATTTATTTCAGAGCTCCCTTCCCCCTCCTGTATTTCTGAAGAAGGGTCCCGACCCAAAACGTCAGCTTTTCTGCTCCTCTGATGCTGCCTGGCCTGCTGTGCTCCTCCAGCTCCACACTGTGTTATCTCTGACTCCAGCATCGGCAGTTCTTACTATCACTGACATTATTCAGTTGCTCCACATGTCAATTTCTGAACAATGAATCACCAGTCCAAATAAGCCTGTGGTCTGAATAGTGTTTGGTCCTCACTAACAGTGCCCTACTCCCAGCTTTGTGTAAACATGTCTCTTAAACTTGTGTTAGAATCTCACCAACCATTAACAAGAGATACAGCAGTTTCAGCTGGTAGGGCGAGAGGGAAGGGGAGAAAACAACTGGAGAATGGAGTAGTCAAGCAAACAGGGTTGTTGCATTCATTGATGTGACCATGTGATGGGCCATTTGTCATCTTCAGCTGAAGCACTATTTGTCATTGTTGTTTTTCAGAGTTGGTGGGAGGGATGTTGGGGGGTTGAAAAGAACTGCACATGTCTGATTTATTCTGTGCTGACTGGCTGTTACAGGACATCAGAATGCAGACATTTGAACTCAGAAATCAACCAAAACCAAATGAGACCTGTACAATGTGTGTGTTTCACAGAATCCTTATAATGTGGAAGCAGGCCATTCAGCACATCGAGTCTATACTGACCCTCCAAAGAGCATCCCACCCACATCCTATCCCTTTAACGATACATTTCTCACAGCCAATCCACCTACCCCACACATCTTTTGACTGCGGGAGGAAACCCGAACATCCAGAGGAAACGCAGGCCGACATGCGGAGAATGTGTAAACTCAACACAATGAGTCACCCAATGGTGAATCGAACCTGGATCCCTGGTGTCGTGAGGCAGCAGTGCTAACCACTGAGCCACCGTGCCATTTCTGTTTTGAGAAAAAATTACCACAAATCCACCCATAATCCAACAATAAATTGGCAGTGCTGCAGATAAAAGACATTTTTTGATCTGCAAATAGGTTAATGCGCATTGCTGAACATCTACTTGGAAAGCAAATTCAACCCTGAAATATTCAACCAGTCCAAATAACAAACAGTACAAACTCAGTTCATATCAAACATGTTCACTATTGTTGTTCTTGTTACATACCAGTTGGCAAACCCAGGGTGAAGTATCTGTCAGGACCAGGGTTGAACTTAACAATCTGATTCCTGATGTATTTTGCAGCCCATTCACTGACTTGCGTATGATCGTCCAAGATAATCAACTTCATGGCTGCTTCTTATATATTCAAGGAAACTGCACAAGAAAAATACAGCACTTTGTATTAGTTAATACAGTGTGGAGCTGGAGGAACACAGCCGGTCAGGCAACATCAGAGGAGCAGGAAAGTTGACGTTTCAGGTTTACACACTTCATCAGGATTTTAGCACTTTGTACCAAATCTTTAAAAGTGGGGTCTCTGGGTTACGCTTAGGTCCTAGAGCAGGTCCAAGTGTCCCACTGCCTTATTGACCACAGTGTAGCAAATTTCCTTTGAAATATGTAAATAATAGAGATATCATCTCTCACTAATATGTTAGAGAATTTGTCCATTTTTTAAAAGGGGTTATCATAAACTAAAAGTCATTCTCCACTGCATGGTTCTTCCCTGTGACAGCATTGGAAAGTCGAAGTTAAACACAAAGCCACAGGCAGATTAAATGCTGATAAGGAACAAACACTAATCTTGGGTTGGAATGGCTCTGTACCTGAAAGACAGTGGTAAAAAAAAGTGTTTAGAGCTGCTGTCAATCAAGCAAACGGTACCAACTGATGAAAAAACGAAACTGTTCCTGTTGTTAAGCAAAAATTTGTTGTTGGGTAATGACAATACATTTAAAAGGATATTCAAATATCCATAATGTATATCTACCATGCCAAACGCATGTGTCAGGGGTGGATAAGCCCAGGAAACAACTGAAACAAAATGAAAAAGGCAATTATTCCATTCAAAGTTCTTCTCTGAAGATCAGATGTTGTTTCCCTTTTTTTGTCTCTGCGATGGGATCAGGGCGTCCGTACCTGTGTAAACACAAGGCCTCACTCTGAAAATCGTCCTCTTTAGTTGTGCATGGGAGGATTTCCGCAGTTGCAGCTCATCTCTGAAATACCGAATCTCAACAGGTGGCTTTGCAGCTACCCTCTCCTTCGCTTCCCGCTTTTCATGCAGTAAAGATACAATGTAAGAGGCAGGCTGCAAACCTCGGCTCTCTTGATGCTCTGGATGAAGTGAACTGCTCCTGCATGTTTGTATCACTGCCTCCTCTAAATCCGCGAAAAGTACCCTCATCACATTGAGGTTTTGGTCAAGGGTGTGAATGCAGGAGGTAGTTTGAATCCCACCAAAAAAAAAGCAGACGCCAATTTGGCTGCAGTCACTCAACAAGTTGCCCACATGATAACACGGGGATTATTTTGCAGAGTCGACAGTTTCGGTGTGCAATTAAAGCAAGCCTGAGTTGACATTTTTGTTTTGCATGTAGACTGCAAGAAATATATCACCCGGAAAAGGGTAGAAATTGCACGATTTGCCGGAGTTTAAAATGTGGCCAACTATCCTCTGAAGGCAAAGAAGGTAAAGGAGGGGGGAACGCAAAAAGTAATCCGTTTTACCCCACACCCCCAAATAACATTTTCATCTTGGGTTTTAAAAAAAACTACAGTACCACAAAATTTGCATTTCAGGCTATTGCAATGACAGGCGCAAAGAAAGATTAAACAGTCGCCACACGGGGGTGGGGGGAAGAATCCCATTTTAAAACAAACTGTATATGACTCATTACATCTTCCGAAAATGAACCCTGATATATGATACGCAGATAAGTTTGTTCCCACAATTAGCGAACCGCAGAAACGCAAGACAAATCAATCTAGCAAAGGGAGGGGGCTGGCCCAATCGTGGATCTTGAAGGTGTTATAACAATTTTCTGGATTACCACGGGACAGGAGCCACTGTAACAGATTAAACGATACAAATACGGCACCCGCTATCTCCCTTACGACTGGATTGTAAGATTTGCAGTGACTGCTACTCAGCCAGAACACTGCCTACTAGTTTAGGCTTACATTTACATAGATTGCGTTTTCAAATAACACTACCAGCAAATGCCAGCATCTTACCTTTTTCATTAAACGTTAATCCCCTATTTTCTGCGTTTCCTTTCTTTTAACCCTAGCGCAAGGATAACATTGTCATATGATTTTGCTGCCGGTCAGATGATCGGAAGAGAGAAAAAAAGAGGGAAACGAAATCCTTTTGTTCGGTTCTTATTTCTGAAGTTTAATGCAAGTCTCCACGCATTGGATTAACTCAGAATATTGCAACTGAACGCTTATCAAAGTTTGTATCTTGCATAAGCATACATTAGTTTTTAAGCTTTGAGTTTAATTATGTCGTTGCAGAATAAATTGAATTTTAGATTTACAATGCTTTTGACTCCTCAGTACTCCTGGAATTTACAACATAATCCAAGGTACTTCGTTCAACTCAGTGGTACAGATACAAAAACAGAAATTGCAGGAAAATTATATGCATATAAACTGACATTTTCCTAGCTACCAGCAGGTCTATGGAAGAGTCACTTGACCTGAAACGTTAACTCTGATTTCTCTCCACAAATCCTGCCAGACTTGCTGAGCTTTTCCATCAATTTCTGTTTTTATTTCTGATTTACAGCATTGGCAGTTTTTTTTTTCGGTTTTTACTCAGTAGTACAAATATCATTCTCAAAATAATGCTTTTACCTCTAATATTGGATTACTTGAAATATTCTTGCATGGGTACATAAAAGGATTTGGATTTAGAAATAAGACTATGGTAATTTTTTTCTGAGTTCTGGCAGCTCGATATGACGACTTACTGGACACCGTGAGTTGAACCTTCTATACTTTATTAAACGGGCTATTCTTCAAGAAACTGTTCTACAGGCAACTTCCTAAATAGTCAAAATTAATGCATGAAGTTGAACATTATCATGTCTGTTATAGTTATTTTAATCTGTTCAGGCATCCTGCGGCAAACCTCCAAGGCAGGTGGGACAGCAGAAGTTCTTTCGGGATGGCCTTAAAATATCCCTAAAAATATCAAATGTGCTGCTGACTCATCCCTGAATTGTGACCAAAGGTACTGAACACATCCAAAGTTTGACAGTAACATGGAAAGACAAAGTCCAGGTGTCAGAGAGAGCGCACAAACCTGCTAACAACTCATTCACTCAACCAAGCACCATCCGACCCATATGAAGAAGTCTCCAGATTGCATATTGGATAAATCACCCTTTTCGCAATCTGTTAAACCAGGACAAAGGCAAATTGTCCTTAATCTTGAGGGCTGATTAAGGGAAATAAGACTGAAACATTCACCAATTTTGTCCTTCCTTAATCTGAGGGTATGGATATCTTTAGTACCTCTGTAGCAGCCCAGTCAGAGGGAAGGTGATGGGCTTGTGGTATCACCACTAGACTGTTAATCCAGAGACCCACGTAATGTTCTGAGATCCCGGGTTCAAATCCCACCACGGCAGATGGTGGAATTTGAACACAGTAAATACCTGGAATTAAAAGTCTAATGATGACTGTGAAATCCATTGTTAATTGTCAGGAAAAAAACATCTAGTTCGATGTCCTTTAGGGAAGGGAACTGCCACCCTTACCTGGTTTGGCCTACATGTAACTCCAGACCCATAGCAATGTGGTTCACTCTTAACTGCCCGCTGGGCAATTAGGGATGGACAATAGATGCTGGCCTAGCTAGTGAAGCCCCCATCCCATGAATGAATTAAAAAAAGATAACTCAGCACTGAGTGGAGCTTGAACGGAGGACATTACTAAGCTTCAGCTTCTTAATGTTACTTTTTTTAAGATGCACTAAAACAGTGATCTAACTTAAAAAACAAAGTTGCTTAACAAGGAGATGGTATATTGGATCCATGGTCTTTTCAGAAATAAGTGTACATCAGGGTAGTTCTCTGAGGAGGTTCAAAATTTTAAACTAACTTGTATGTATCTCATTACATATTGTAGATGAACAAGGCCATTCTGTAGATTACTACTGTGGAGTTACGGTTAGCTGACTGAAAGGATCAAATTGAGGATGTGGCTGATGTGGTGGCAAGGGGATTGAGTTGGCAATGCCTCATTATGTAGTTCAAATGCTGAGCTGGAGAGTGCATAGTTTCAGGGCTGAGGCAGATAACAGATGATCCCAAGAGGAAAACAGAGGCAGAGCTCCAAAGCCATTTTTACCAACAACAACACATTTGGTAGGGAGCACAATACCATCTGAAACCCACCAGTACTTCCATCATTGCTGCTAATAGTATTCTACTGCTCAATTATATTGACCCTTCTTACTTTATTTATCTTTAAAACAAAAGAGCAAAACGCACAATCTACTGATACTGTAGTAGATTAGGTGTCCTAGTGGTTCACAGCATTGATGGCACATCAAGGCACATTTAATAATAGAATTGTAAAGCGAGAGCTTGACCCTACATATCATCACATGGTCAGCAGCCAATACCAGCACTGGATTAAGAGGGAGGAAACACAAGCAAGGAAAGCAAGGTCAAATCACACCAAGCAATTTTCTTGTATGTTCTGAAAGACAAAATTCACTGGATAAAAGAGCAACTGGCTTTATTGTTGCCTAAGAATTTATGGTAGCCTGAAGAATGAAGAACAAGATGTCATGTTATAATTAAGAGTCATATATCTAATTCCGTTCTTTGAACACATTCTTCACACATTAATGAATATAATACTCAAATATTTGTCACATAACAGATAGGAAAAACTACCAAAATTAAGAAAGAGCAAACAAGCCAAATTAAACTCAATCTAATAACTAAATTTACTTTTTTAAGCTGTGTGGATGACTAAACAAAAAAGTAATGGGCATGATAAAACAAAAAAGAAAAGCATCCAAAAAACAAAACCTAGCATATATCCTGGGAATGGGGAGATATTCAAAGAGCAACAAAAACTGACTGAACACACAGTAAGAATTTGGTAAAGGGTGAAATGAAAAACAATTTTAAGGCAAATCAAAACCAATGAAGCAATTTTGTACAATTATATTAAGGGGAGAAAAGGTGGTTAGCAGCAACAGAGGCCTCTTGAAAATAAGTAATGTCCTTATTTATATTTATGGTATGAATAAATGGAAATGTAGAATAATTATTTTGTAGCCACAAAACTAACATCGAACCTGGATGTTGACCCACCAAAATTAATGCAAGCCAAAAACGTAATGGAGCAGTTATAGGGTAATTTTCTTTCACCCAAAGCATGGCATGACTTTGGAACTCTGTGCCTCTGAAGCCAGTGGAGGCACAGTCATTGCATATTTTTAAGGCAGGTAGATAAATTCTTGTTAGATAGGGGAATTGAAGAATTGGGTTAAATGGGTATATGGAATTCGAAATAAATACCACACACACAGGCTAGCATGCAAAAATAAAGTTATCGGTTAGAGGAGGTGGAATTTTGTTGTTTTTCTGGAGGCAGTTTCTTTTAAACCATTATCTGTCCTTTAGCAAGGTGTGTGCTACAGAATTTTAAATTCCTTTAGATTAAAATTCACTACCTATTCTGTATTCCAAAATGTAACAGAGATTGGGTCCGAAATTGAGAATTGCAGAGTGAAAAGGTGGTATTATATTCTGCAGGGAGATCTGATGTTTCTGTTCCACTCTGCAGACTCCTGTTAATGTTAGGAATAGACAAGGTCAGAATTTTAGTCTTTCCCAAATGGTATTTCAATCATGTAACTGCTGAGGATTGGAACACAATACCGACAACCCGTAGTGGTGACGGAGCTTCAATCTCCATTGTATAAACTGTAAAGATACGATCAAAACAGATAGGGCTCCAACATAAGAAATAGAAGCAGAATTAGGCCATTCAGCCCATCATGTCTGCTCCATCAGTTAATCACGACTGGAGTGTTTCTCAATCCTATTCTCCTGCCTTCTCCTGATAATTCTTGATCCCTTTACCAATCAAGAACCTATCTACCTCTGTCTTAAACAAACTCAGTGACTTGTCCTCCACAGCCTTCTGCAGCAATGAGTTCCACAGATTCACCACCCTCTCGCCAAAGAAATTCCTCTTCATCTCAGTACCACATCTCAGACCACAGTACCTTCTTTGCACACTGAATTTCGGTCGATGTTCTTTATTCCCAGTAATTTCTGCAGTTGAGGTGTAGATTTTTCAGCAAATTTAAGCAGTGATAGGTGTGACGTTCTGCTGGAAAACTGCCCAGACAAATGCCCTGGTAATTAGATTTCAGAGACTTCTAGAAAGTTGTGCAACTTGTAGATCAGTTGTTTTCCATGACCATTTTAAAAGTGTTTTTGCAGCCCAAAATTTTTCCTTTCTGTTTTTATAAACAAAGTATTATACAAGACAAGTAAAATATAGATTAATATTCCATAGCATACATCATTTTGTCAATGTCCTGCAAGGTTCTTTGTGTGGTCTCAATTCTTCACCATATTTTTAAAAACAATTCAGAAAGCTGATTAAAAAGCTATGTATCTAAATTTTGATACAAAGACAAGCTGTACTGTAAAGTGTAGACTGAAATCTAAAACTGCAAAGAGATATCATTGGACTAAGTGCATAGACAAAAGTGTGGCAAATGGATTTTAGTACACGTAACTATGAGATCATTCATGTGAATCCACAAAGGATAGAGCAGAGTAGTTTCTAAATGGTAAAGAGCTAGAAATAGTGCTGGTCGAAAGAGATTAAGGGATTCATATACATAAATTAAAATGTTGAGAACAAGGGCAGAAATTAATTAAAGAGGCTGTGCATTATTTCTCGAAGACCAGAATACAGGAGGTAGAATTACACTCAAGTAATACCATGCCCTGGGTAGACCACAACACACTTTTTCAGCAACACACTTTTGAAAGGATATATTGGACTTGCAGGCGATTCCACATGATTTCCCTGGAGTACAAAGATGAAATTACAACATAAAATTGAACAAACTAAGATTGTATTCTCTGGAATTTAGGAGTTTCAGGGGTAATTTGATCAAAGTTTCAAGATATTAAGGGGGACAGATAAACTAGGTTAAAATAAACTATTTCACGGGTTGAGGAGCATCAGTTTCAATGCATTTTCTAGACCCAAGCCTCTCAGAAGTGAAATTAGGAAAGAATTTTAGACATAAAACTGGGGGTTAAGATTCTTCTTCTGCATATTACTACTATTGTTCCAAAACAATACAACATCTACTCATGGTAAGAAATCACAAGAGATTCATTAGTACAGTCATAATAAAAATGACAGTCATCAGATAGCCTCATGAAATATTAAGCACTTAGTCATCTCTAATAACTAAGTGCTTAATATTCAAAATAACATTTAATTCTACATTGTAGCTAGCCTTGATACAAATATCCATATATAACCATAAAATAGCTTATGCTTATTTTAGTTAAATATTTTATGAAGTAATGAAAGAAACAATGACTTTGTATTGTCTGTAACATTAACATTTGAAAGAAATTTGCAGTTCATATTATCAGTCCCTCTTTCAACTGATCAATTAATTATAATGCCCCCTCTTTTGATAACAAACCAGTTAAAGTACACCTCATTAGAAATACCATAAGCATGAACTTTCTATAGCATAAATCTTATATTCTATGTTTTGGTTTATTTTTCTGTGTTTAAGGTGGTGCCAGAGGATGGTGACACTCTACAACACTTTTCACTGTATTCTGTAACAAGCTACACAAGACAATAAAAAATAAATCAATATAGTTTCTTTGCCTTTTACAAGAAGCTGCAGCTGAAAGAGAAAATACAGTTTTGTCCAAAAAAGTATTTAGTATAATTGAGCTATAAAATGCAAATTATAATTTGTACCTACCCACAAAGAATGCAATGATTCAGAAACAGACCTCACCACTGTCTTCTCACAATGAATTAAAAATGAGCAATGAATATACACCCAGCTAGGGCACATCCCGAGAAAGAATTTAAAAATAAGTAGGTTCGAAAGATAGCTTTCAACTTTTCAGAAGATAACAAGTGAACAAGTTCCAAAGGTTCCTAAATTGCCGCAAAAGGAGGTGAGGCCAGACTATTTTCATATTATTCAGGTAGTTCGATGGCTTGATATAAACAGCTTAAAACAATATCTCAGCAGGTATTTCATGTCTGCAATTCCCCACTAGATAAGTTCAGTATTTTAGCTGTTTCATTAAAGATAGATACACAAAAAGAGACTCCACGAGAATGTAGGCTTGCAGCACAGATTAACCATAAAAAGGTGTGTTTTAAATATTTGGACTTCTGGCCTTTGGCCCTGGCACTGTTTCTGTAATTACCAGAAAGTCAAGAAGAAGAAGCAAAGGTTAATGGGATCGGTGCTTTGCAGCAGATTAAACAACTTGACTTTTTTTGCCAGGGTGATTTTGACTTTCTTTTTCTACAAAAACAATTGGAAAGAATTAATCTGTTTGAATTTTTAGATTTATTTTTCTTCTCACCTTTATCAGTTTGTTGTTCATCTCTGGTCTTAAGCATAAATGTTTTCTGCAGAAACAGATTTGCTTTTAGTGAAGGCTTGAAAATATCTGTGGTAAAACTCTTCAGGAAAATTTAGTTTGTGGCCCTTTTCTAGTGACCTGTTTGTCCCCTGGTAATTAATTTTATATGCTTTCTTCTACCAGCCGAAGGCAACTGTGCCAAGTCTGACAAGGTTAGCAGCCATTATGAATTGAAAGTGTTGTTTGTCCGAGGTTTCTTTAGTTCAAAAACTGCAAGCTTTGTACTGATATTGTTAATACAATTTACAAATAAATAAGTATTAAAATTTTCTTATTGGCATCTCTTGTTCCTTGCTTATTAATCAAAAATGCAGTTAGTCTCATGGGATTCCCAAAAGCCAGATGTGGCTATTGCCTAATATATTGGGCAATGCTGGACTAAACAAGTTCAAATTGTGTTTCTTTCTTTATCAATTGCAAGATTTTGTCCAATCGAATTCTAAGCCTAAAACAGAGAAATTGATCACACATATGGAACTAAGTAATTAAGAGGATCTGGCATTTTGAAGAATATATATTCAACCTCTTGACCATTCTCAGAAGAAACCCCTCAAGTAATTTAAAGTCTGAGTGAACAGGTTTGGAGCCTAACTAGTTGAAATGGTGAGGGTGAGCCAGTAATCAAAATGAAGCAGTAGTGATAGACATAATTGGCAACAGTTCTTGCTATTGTTTAGAGGAACAAATGCAAATACTTTTGAAACAAACAAAGAAATTGCTGGAAAAGATCAGCAGGTCTGGCAGCATCTGTGAAGAGAAATAAGAGTTAACATTTCAGGCGCGGTGACCCTTCCTTAAACTGATGGTAACTAGGAAAATGTTTTTAATACAGAAGATGGGGGTGTGTGGGGGGTGCATGGTAAGGAATAAATGATAGGTGATTGGGGATAGAACCCAAAGTGAGAGAAGAACAGTTGGACAGGCAAAGGAGTAGATAATTATCTGATTATTAGGGTGAATAGCTGTTAATGGAGATTGTTAGTGGCTAACAATGAGTTGTGTGTAATAGCAGACTATATGATCACAAGGCCCGGTGTGTTAGGTTAGGGGCTTGGACGTAGGAGAGTTCAAGCCCTGAATTTATCAAACTCGATATTGAATCCAGAAGGCTGCAATGTCCCCAAGTGGAAAATGAGGTATTGTTCCTCTAGCTTATGCTGAGTTTCACTGGAGCAAGCCTGAGACAGAAATATTGGCCAGGGAACAGGGTGGCGTGTTGAAGTGGCAGGCAACTGGAAGCTCAGGATCATTGTTCCGGACAGAATATAGTCTGGTTGATTGCTTCACAGAACACCTATGCTTCATTTCCCCAGTGTAGAGGAGACCACACTGTGAACAGTGAATGCAGTAGACTAGATTGTGGGAAATGCAGATAAACTGTTCTTCACCTGGAAGGTACGATTGGGCCCTTGGATACTGGGGAGGGACGAGGTAAATGGGCAAGTGTTTCACCTTTGGCGATTGCAGGGGAAGGTGCCTTGGGGCTGTGGGGGTGTGGTGGGAGTGAAGGAAGAGTGAACCAGGGTGTCCCAGAGGGATGGTCCCCGTGGAAGGCGGACAAGGGAGGGGAGGGGAATGTGTGTCTGATAGTGGCATCTCACTGGAGGTGGTGGAAATGGCAGCTAATGATCCCCTGGATGTGGATGCTGGTGGAATGGTAGGGAAGGACAAGGGAAACCCTATCTCTGTTGCAGGAGGGAAGAGAGAGGGTGAGGGCCAAAGTGCGAGAGATGTGTCGGACCGAGTTGGGGGCCCTGTCAACAATGCTGTTGGGGAATTCTCGGATGAGGTAGAAGGTGGACATTTCAGAGGCTGTCTTGTCAAAATTGGCCTCATCATATGTGGAACATATGTGGTGGAGACAGAGGAACTGGGAGAATGGAATAGACTCTTTACAGGAGGCAGAGTGCAAGGATGTATAGTCCAGGTAACTGGGGGTCAGTGGGTTAACAGTGGATATTAGTGGCCAGTGTATCCCCAGAAATAGAAACAGAGATGTCGAAGAAGGGAAGGGAGGAGTCAGAGATGGACCAGGTGAAAGTGAGGGCAGGGTGGAAATTGGAAATGAAATCAACAAACCTTTCCAAATCCAGACGAGAAGGAAAAGCAGGACTGATGAAATCATTGATATATTGGAGAAAGAGTTGTGGATAGGGACCCAAATAGGACTGGAACAAGGAATGTTCCATGTACCCCACAAAGAGATAGGCATAACTAGGACCCATGTGGGTACCATGGCCACCCCTCTGAACTAAAGAAAATGACAGGAGTTAAAAGAGAAGTTATTTAGGGTGAGGACGAGCTTGGCCAGATGGACAAGGGTGGTAGATGGGGACGGTTCAGGCCTTTGTTTCAGGAAGAAGCGGACATCCCTGAGACCATCTTGGTGGGGGATGGACGTGTAGAGGGATTGCATGTCCATGGTGAAGAGGCGGTGGCTGGAGCCCGCAAACTGGAAATTCCGAAAGTAGCATAAAGCATCAATGGAATCATGGATCTAAGTGGGAAGTGACTGGACCAGTGGAGAAAAGTCAAGGTAAGAAGGGATGAGTTCTGTGGGGCAGGAGCAGGCAGAAACAATGGATCTGCCTGGGCAGTCCTGTTTTGTGGATTTTTGGAAGAAAGTAGAAGAGAGCTGTGCGGGGTTGTGGGCATATCAGCTTAGAGGCAGTGGTGGGGATATCATCAGTGAAATGAGTTGGTGACTGTAGTTGATACAATGGCCTGATGTTCCATGGTGGGGTCACAGTCCAGGGAAAGATAGAAGAAGGTATCCGAGAGCTGGCACTGAGCCTCTGCAATGTAGAGGTCAGTACGCCAGATTACAACAGCACCACACTTATCAGCAGGCTTAATAATAAAGTCAGGGTTAGATCTGAGCACACAGCACATGGTCAGTTGGGGGGGAAGATAGGTTGGAATAGGTGAGGGGGGGGCAGAGAAATTGAGGCCACCAACACTACATCGACAGTTCTCAATGAACAGGTCAAGTACAGGTAGAAGGCCGGGGATGGAGGCACCAGATGGAGGGAGAGAATCGGAGCTGGGCAAACGGGTCTGTGGGACAGGCAGAGGACTCTTGTCCAAAGAAATAGGCACAGAGGTGAAGATAGCAGAAGAAGAGTTCAACATCATGTTGTGTCCAAAGTTTGTTAACGTGGGGATGCAGAGGGATAAAGCTGAGACCTTTGCTGAATACAGAACGTTTACATCAGAGAGTGGAAGATTAGGGTCATGGTGAATACATGACAGGAGGTGGGGTTGGAATGAGAAAAGGAGGCGAGATGGAATCAGAGGGAAGGGGAGCTGGACTTCACCTCGGCTTGGAATCGCAAATGGTGCCAGGAACGAACATAAACCTTCAGACCAGCCATTGAGCGAGGGGTGCCCGATGGAAAGGAGGGAGTGAGACTTGTTGCTTTTTTGAGAAGGGCACGAGACTTTCTTTTTCCTTTCCTCTTCCATTTATTATTTATTTATTGTTATCACTATAATCATTTATTATTGCTTAATTTAAAAAATTCATATTTAAACAAATTGCTGTTGTCAAGCCTTCTCTTAATGATATTTACCCAAATCTGAGAAGAACCGCTTGGATACACGCTGTGATCCAAACCACCACATGGCATAAGTCTGGGCCAGAGGCAGTCACTGAGGAATGTTATGTGGCTGTGGAAACGAGTCTTAACAAATATCTGGTCAAACACCAAGAGTGACAGTAAAATTAACATTGGTGGACAAGAAAAACGATTGAAATGGAAATCCCGGAGGGGCAGAACTTCTTCGGGGTGGGCATGCCTAGAAAGTGGCAGGGAATTAAATCCTAAAAAAAATGAAAAAACTGCACATGTTGTAAATCAGAAACAAACACAGAAATTGCTGGAAAAGCTCAGCAGGTCTGGCAGTATCTGTGAAAGAAATCAGAGTTAACATTTCGGGTCCGGTGACCCTTCCTCAGAACTGATGGTAGTTAGGAAAATGTCAGTTTTTTGCAAAAGATAGGGTGGGGGAGGGGTAAGGAGTAAATGATAGGTGGGGATAGAGCCCAAAAAGAGAACGGTTGGACAAAGAAGTGGATAATAATCTGGCTAGGAGGGTGAATAACTGTTAATGGAGACTATTAATGACTGACAATGGGTTGAAAGTAATAGCAGTGTTTGTGATCACAAGGCCTGGGGTCTAGGAAAATACTTCTGTGCTGAAAATATCTCTAAATTTATATTCCATAACAGTTCAAATTTGATACTACTGAAATTGTAAATCAGTTCATGTTCTTTCTACGCAGCATGTAACAAGTGCCTCAATATAATTACGCAAGAGAGTTACAATATACATTGAGACAAAAATACTCAGTGTGATTTTACACTTTCCAACCCCTTAGTATACTTATCCAATTAGATCTTAGACTATGCCTTTCCATCTTTGAGTCTTTTTGCTGCTGCCCAAGCTTTAGTGCATCACACAGCATGTAGTCCTGGATTTTGCTGGTCCTACTGAAACAGCAGCAGATTTCAGGCACAGCAAGGGGCATCTTTCAACAAATCATCTAATTGCCAGTCCATTTAACCTGCACGTCCTTGGGCTGTGGGAGGAAACCAGAGCTTCTGACCAAAACCCACATATACACAGAGAGAACATGCAAACTCCAAACAGTCACCCAAGGCTGGAATCAAACGCAGGGTCCCTGGTGATGTGAGATAGTAGTGCTAACCATTGTGCCACCTTTAACCTTGGGTCTGCGCTCCTTTAGATTCTTATAAATTGAAATCCAGCAATTCCACATAGGCACCGTTCCAACTTTTCATGGATAGCTGGATTCAACAAGACTGCAATCCTCTCACTGGATATCTCATCTTGTCATTTAGCATTCTGTCACATGATTTCTTGGAAATGCTGTTTTGACCTATTACTATTAAAAATTGCATTTAAGGCCCATTATAAAACAAATCACCTTCCACAGAACTATAGAATCATAGAATCCCTGGTGTGGAAACAGGCCCTTCGGCCCCACGAGTCCACACCGACCCTCAGGGCATCCCACCCAGACCCATTCTCCTATAACACACCTAAGCTACACGTCCCTGAACACTAGGGGCAATTTAGCACAGCCAATACACCTAACCTGCACATCTTTGGATTGTGGGAGGAAACCAGAGCGCCCGGAGGAAATCCACGCAGACACGGGGAGAACGTCTGTGTGGAGTTTGCACAGTCGCATGAGGGTGGAATCAAACCCGGGTCCCTGGCAGTGTGAGGCAGCAGTGCTAACCACTGAGCCAGCATGCCGCCATGGATCATAAATCCATTTACCTCTACCTGTGAAGTCAAGGTCACAATTAATGTTATTAACCTTCATTGCAAAGTTCCAAGTTTATCAGTACTGGATTTTAATTATGAATTGAGTCACTGTTCTTACACAAGCAATTCATCCTCCTGTTGAAAGTATGTTTCACAATAGTTGATCGAGATTCTGATAGTTGAAGTTTATTAGGTTTTAACTGAAGATCTATCCTGGTTGAAGTTATTTCCACAAACTTATCATTTAGATGTTTCAAGTCCTCATTCAAATGTTTTATTTCTATGACTGATGCTCAAATGCTGTCAGTGTGCTTATATCAACAAAAGCCCTGGGAACTGTAGCCGTGTGGATGAAGCCTATGTGCAATTGATAATTCCAGGACTTGAGAATGGAAATTGAAAAGCCCACAAGTAGTATTTGCTTGGTGTAGCTGAGCAAGATTGGAGCACAGGACAACCCAGAGACAGTACAGGCTTGGTGAAGCTAAGTATCTGTGGAAAAAAAACTTGAATTGTGCCCGAATGTAAGTGCACAAAGTTTATTTTTCATGCACAAACGTTGGTTCTCTGCATTGATCAGTCCCTTCTTGTTCTTCCAGGAGAGTTTAGTTTCTGTTGTTACCTTTGATATTCTTACTGTTCCATTTCCAATAATAGACTTTTACATGCCCTCTCTTTTACAGCAATGAAAACCTACTGTTTTTGAACAATACTTTTACTCTTCATTCTATCACTTTTATTGACTGAAATAGCTTCCCTTAAACAATAACTGTAGCTGCTCTTCACTTGGGTTATGCCTTCTATTTTTCCTCTTTAAATTTCTCTTTCCTACATCTTTACTCTCATTCCAAATTCCCATTCTAGAGTTCAAGTTCAAGCATTTTGCCTTTCTCTGTCAAATACAAATTCTCTCAATTCTTTTCAAACTGCCTCAGCTACCAAATTCTAACCAACTCAAGCTGTATTCCACTTGAGCTTGATTCTCCATCTTCCAATCCCTGATGCTACTCTATCTCAATAATCTCAATTTTCCTTGCACCTGCTTTCAATTCCAATTCAAATTTTCTGCTAATGCAGAACTTTTTTCCATTAGCCTAACCATAGCTTATTTTTTCAAATCATTCGGGATAAATCTTCCCTCTGTTGAGTCATGCAACCGAAAAGACCATTTTTGCTTTTAAAATGCATAGAAAAGTTTACCACGAAGGTCTTATCAGCCTTAAAATTTAACAAATCCCAGGACTCATGTGTCTTGGATTTAAAGTTGCACAAGAGACCCCAAATTAAGTTATGATCCTGAACCAGACCTCAAATTTTTGTTACAAGTTGACTAAGCAGCAGTGTTTCTCTATTTAAAGTTGAAAAGGTAGGAGATCCCAGGTACTTATGAAGAGACTAATACCACTAGTTTCCTCAGTTGTGAACAAAAAATAAACATTATGTAAAAAAAAACAAGCTTTGTGTATATTGTAATCTCCAAAATTGACCAAGGTAAAGATAGATAAGAGAAATTATGGTCTAACACCCCACAGAGCACTTGAAATAGCAAATATGGTCATGACAGATTCCACGGATTTTTCAGCAGACAACAGCGACACTGTGGATCATCGAATTTTATCAAATACTACAAAGGTCTCCTGCTCAGTGCCTGCTAAAGCAGTACCTTTTCAGGTTCTTCTCCCCGAGGCAGCAGCTTCTCCTCTAACTGCCTAAAACTGACTATTTAAGAACCCATGAATTGTTCTGAATACCTTGCTCTTATTCCTGGGCAGCCTACATGTGGCAACCTTCAGAAGGCTCCGTTCCCAGTGTGTTATAATATTCTGATTCCTGCCTTACGTAAAGCAATACATAAAAGGTGGAGGGCGGGGCGGGGGGGGCGCGTGGAAAGAGGATGGTGTGAATTGCATCTCAAATTAGTACAAACATTGACATAAATATTTATTATTCACACAGTTGACAGGGAATGCATTTAATTGCAAGCCTTAAAAAATAATATCATGAAACTAGATTGGAGATGCAAGTGTTTCATTTTGGTATTTAATGCAGAGACTTGGCCCACACCATTTCACAACAAAATACAAAAGGGTCCATGACATTTATTGAAGAATAAAGACAAGACCAATGTATGAATCAATTATTTATTTGAGAACTGTTAACCTTCAATCCTTTTTGACAAGTTAAAATTTTAAACATTAGATATATAGATTTTTGAGTTGCACCTGAATACACTTCACAGCAGTTTCCTGATGCTAAACCAGATTTTTAAAATAATCTTTCCTTGAAGATTGTTTTTGAAAAAGCTAATCCTGAAATCATGCCCATCTGAATGAACTTGAAATCAATAACTTAAACAGTAAGAAAGCAACATTTCTTACTAGCATTTTTCTAATGAGCTGAGCCAAATGTGACCTCAGCCTTGTGCTGTTTAATAGAATGAGCCATGAGAAATTCAGCAACACAATGCAAAACTACCTGTTTTAAATGGAAGATCTGAATATACTCAGAACAATAGGCAGGTTTTTAGCTAATGGTTGGTTAGAAATTTTAAAACAGTGGGAATCACAGTATGTACTTAAGAGCATAGCAATCTTTGGATTAAATGACATTCTAAATTGAAGATGCTTCCACATTTCAGTTTTGTGACTTCCTCCAACAGCACTAGAACGGCATATATTGTTCATCCTCCTCCCAGTGACTTAATAAACCTCTATAATCGTAGAGTTGTATGTTTTAGAAAGTTATACCCAGATTGATTTACATTGTAAAAATTTATAATTTTAGCATGACAAGTATCTATGCAAATATCTAATTACTGGGGTGACTTAATTGAGGGATGGGAACTGTGGAAGAAAAAATTGAACATGCACATAGTCAAATGCATTCTATTTTGTTACATTATCATACAATCACAATTGTTTAATGCATAAGAAGACAATTCCAGTCTCTGGATACTCAGAGAGCAGACATACCGTGAAAAATGCATGTCAAGACACCTCGGAAGTCAGAGCAATTACCTAGGAAGTTCAAAGTTCTGATCACCTGGTGCCTAGAACCCTCTGATAAAGTTCCTAACTTTAAGGATTGGAGTCTTTGGAGAATTTCCATTTAATTGTCTTTAATAATTCGCCAGGAAATGCTACGAGTGGCTAAAACTTGCTTTAAACACCCAAGCATAAAACAGATTCCTCAAACATTCACATCACCACCACATTCACGCTCTTGAAAGTTCAGGGTGTATTATGATTTCCTAGCGCAGAAACAGTAAAGAAAACAGTAAAACCTGCCAACTGTATGGACTTTTCAGTTGGATCACCTTTAACAAAAATCTAGAGGAGCCATTAAATCAAAATAAAGTTGTTACAAAGAAAGTGAGTCTCAAAGAGGCTATATTATTAATCATAGTCCACAGTAGTTTGAATGTTCTATGCTTTACCTTCGAAAAGCACAATAATCTACCAAATGGTGGGAGATGTACTTTTCACTAGCAACCTCTATTAAAGAAACTCCAAATGAGAAGCATCAAAAATAATTCACTAACTAAAAAAAAAACTTCAAGCTGTCAGCATTTACTTCATTGTACAAAAATTCAACTGAAATGATAGTTTCTGAAATTCACAGCTCCTACAGCAGAATTTTCATTCTCCACCGCCATGTTTTGCATGTCACATCACTCATGAGATAGTATCTAGTATACATGACATCATATTAGGAATAATAAAGTTTAACAGATTTAAACCATTCAATGCATAGAGTGGAAGAAAGTCATTTCAAAAATTACGTTCAGTAGGTATGTGGTTAACTATAAAGGTAACTGAAAACATTGTAATGTTATTCAGAACATAGGGTTACTAGAAACCATGTAAACATCTCTTTACTAAATTATCTCTTGAATTCCATTTCATGATTCTTTACACTTAGTGCATTCACTAAGGAAACAGACGATATTGAACAGGTTAATTAAAATAAGAAAATGCCTTTTCAGGGAAGAGTTTATAGATAGCTTTATGCAAGAATACCAAGGAAGTATAACAAAAATGCAGCCCCAGCAGTCATCTTGTGCACCAAAATGCAGCAAAAAACAAAATGCTTTCACAATATAACTAGCTGGTCCATAATTCAAAACATGTACTTTATTTTTAAACGTAAAAATCCTATTACACTTTTTTTCCTAAAACCCACTTGTCCAGGAGAGAACAGGCAAATCTGTTCCTAGACCTGTCGTTATCTTCCTTGAGCCAGCAAGATCAACAGATTTATAATGAATGCATTGCAGGCTGACGGAACCTGACGGACATCATCTCTTCCTTCACAGACAATCTCCAGTCAAGTCAGTATCTAGTTGTCTTTCTTCAACTGACCAGCATCCTGCCATTGCCAGTTTCATTTTGCATCGAATTTCTTGAATTAGCACAGTATTGCTTCTGTGTAATCAGAAAACAAAGAAAACCCAAGAAAAGGCTTATATGCTCCATATTTGTAGCATTTACTTTTTTCATGCAAAATCCCTGCAGTTCCAAGTGTCAAAACTGAATATATATCTATAAAAGTACCAGAGTTTGAATTGTTGCTTCAAGTAGGGAACCCCATTCAGAAATAGTGCATATGTTGGCTTGCAAAGCTCCATGATTAAATGGCCTATCAAGATAAAAAGTTTGAACATCAAATTCTACACAATAAGTCAAGAGGCACAGCAACGGGATTACTAGCAATTGTCACTGTGACTATTAACCAGAAGCGCACAATTTTTGGAAGATGAAGGAGAAGCTTTAAACTTGTGAAACAAAGATAGAGAAACAGGGAGAAATGGCACTGCTATCATTTTTGAAAACACTTCTCAAATGTTACTTGAATACATAAAATACTTTCCACTGAATGTTGTCCAAATTAAACGAAACATGATCTTCCCCTCAAATTTATCAGCTTAATTTGTTTAAATATATTGTGCATGTATAAATGTTTGAACGCTGAAAAACAGAAGTCCCTAGAACATTATGTATCCTGAGTCCCAAGTTTCATAATGGTCAACACAAGTGCTAAATTGAATAACCATTGCCAGAGATTGGTTTAGCTATGATCGATGGCACTGAAGGTAACAGTCGTTTGTCCGTTTAAATGGTTAATGCATAAGCTTTATGTAATGATAGTCCAGGTGGCTTCATAAAAGAGCTTAAACAATTCCATCATCTTCATCCCTCAAGACATCATCTTCTGCTTCAAAGTCAATACCTTGGAAAAGCCTACAAAATAAAAAGAGAATATTATTGCAAATAAAAACTTGAATCTCGAAGGTTGAAGTACCTGTATCATTCCTTCAAACTATTTTTTTTTGAACCAACCATAACAGCAGAAGACATCACAGCAACTTTCAGGACAGAATTTCAATCCAGACCCAAGATAGATGGCTGCAATCAGTTTACAAACCAAAGAAGTTGTATATCTGGAGTCCTTTGTCCAGAGAGAAAAAAATAGTAAATATTCAGACTCATCTACTGGGAAGCAAGCAATGACTGCTTACTGGGAAATCATATCTAATAAAATCATACAAATGCTGTCTTCAAACATGCTTTCAGAAAACGTTTTCAAAATTCCTTTCAGCAATCATTGGTTCATCATCCACCCACTATACAAGTATGAAACAATTTCTGATCAATGCATTCCAGGCAAAAAAAAAAAGCAAAAAAAACAATAACTCACCCATTTTATCTTTCCACAGCATAAAGAAAATTATCCCCTCTTCCTAAGCTGAGCTCCGTCAACTACTTTTTTTTTAAATCTAGCATTGGCTCCTGACATTTCTCGGGCCTCCATGTCAACATGAAAGTACAAGACATAGATCCCTGAGCAATCTCTTCACTCCTCATTTTCATCCACGCAGGTGCAATCTGATAATCCTTCCTCTCCATTACTACACACTTGCAGTAAAATTCCATATCTCTATTTTCAGTAGGCACACCACAGGACACTAATGCATAAACATTTTCACTTGTGGTAACAATCACCATTGCTTTCACAAATGTTGTGTGTTGAATACTTGGGGACCTTGAGACTGCTTTTGTTGTTTTATACCCATTTCCAAGAAAGTAAGAGTTTCTCTACTCTATTCAGCCACTTTTCTAACCTCTCTCCCAAAGTGTCACTGACACTCCCTTCTCCTGCATAAAATGCCACGAAACATTCTTTTACATCTATAAGTTATGGATAAACAGAAGCTTTGCAGAACACTTACGCTCGGTTCGCAATAAACAACTGCACCTCCCAGTCGCGAACCATTTCAACTCCCCCTCCCATTCCTCAGACGACATGTCCATCCTGGGCCTCCTGCAGCGCCACAACGATGCCACCCGAAGGTTGCAGGAACAGCAACTCATATTCCGCTTGGGAACCCTACAGCCCAATGGTATCAATGTGGATTTCACAAGCTTCAAAATCTCCCCTCCCCCTACCGCATCCCAAAACCAGTCCAGCTTGTCCCCACCTCCCTAACCTGTTCTTCCTCCCACCTCAATCCGCACCCCCATTTCCTACCTACTAACCTCATCCCGCCCCCTTGACCTGTCCGTCCTCCCTGGACTGACCTATCCCCTCCCTAACTCCCCACCTACACTCACCTTTACTGGCTCCATCCCCGCCTCTGACCTGTTTGTTTCCTCTCCACCTGTCTTCTCCTCTATCCATCTTCTATCCACCTCCCACTCTCTCCCTATTTATTTCAGAACCCCCTTCCCCTCCCCCTTTTCTGATGAAGGGTCTAGGCCCGAAACGTCAGCCTTTCTGCTCCTAAGATGCTGCTTGGCCTGCTGTGTTCATCCAGCCCTGCACCTTGTTGTCTCGGATAAACAGAAGTTATTGTTTTTGCCTGGAATATTCATGAGATGCTTCAACCTGATATCAGGACAATGGCTAAGCTTACTCCATGTTCATCAGATCACATCACAAAATCTCTCCCCTCCTGTTTGGCTGCACTCTGTACAAGTGGCTTCCAATCCACCAATGTTACGAGAGGCAGCTCCAAATGTTGTTCTCAATTGCAGGCTCCAAGTAATTCTAAATTATACCGCCATCCACACACCTGAAATCCTCCTTTCTTCCAGTCCCACTATCTTAAAATCATTACACTTGTCACCCAAGACTTTCTAAACATTTTTGCTTTCTTGTGAATCCCTGCATTTACTATAAGTAATGTCACAGGAATCCCGCAAATCAATATATTGTATGCCATACGACTGAACATGTGGTTATAAAACAGGACATCATGTAATGAACAGGCAATGAAGATTTATTGATTTGTTTTTGAAAACCTGTTACAATTTAGGTTAAACTTGTATTTAACTATCATCCACCTACCTCAATATTTGTTAGATGAGCAATTGTGACAAAATATAACAATCACATAGGTTAACGTGGGTTCAAGCAGCATTACAGCAGGATATTAATTCAAAAAACACATTAGTATATCTTCTGTAGATTTACAAAACTTGCTGCAGTTTGCATCAGTATGTGGTCAAGAAAAATGTGCATTGTCTGAACAGTTACTAATTAATGATACAAACTGTAAGCTATCAGAAGACAAACATGAAAACCTCATGAATAATCTAACATCATTAAGAATACATCACAGTAAAATTATTAAAAAAAAAGAAGCTTACTCATTAAAGCAAGGTGATGAGGAATCATTGAAGTGACTATACGGATTTATTTTTGAAAGTGGGCGTATGCAGAGCCAACAGAAGTGCTGCTTACATCCAGTGCATGTCATCTTATTGCATCCATTCACCTTCTAGAAAGGAAAAGAAATGACATGTAGCGGCTCAATGACAAACCTTCTATTATGAAGACATTATTTTCTATATTCTTACCAATGATACCTCAACCTGAGGTTTCAATTTCAGGCAAACATTTTGTAGCTTGTAGGGACTGTAGAAGCAGAATTGATTGTTACAATCTCCAACAATACTGCAGTTTATGGGAATAGGAATTCTATAAAACATCTTGTATAAGAGTTCACATTTATATGCATCCCATGACATCCTTAAATCTAAAACTATTGGAAATACTTTAAGTGTTCACTGTTGCAAAGAGGTTTCATTATCCACCCGTTTCCTTAGCTCAACTTCTTTACTTCACAACAATCATGGGGATAGTTTAGCCATTTCCTTTTAGGGCTGCAATGATAAAAGAAAATCCCTGATCTACTCCCACATAATTTATTACTGTTTCAAAGCTGTTTTCATAACCAAAGCTTACATGCATACTTACAGGTAGCATTATCCGAGCCTGGAAATTTCAGAAAATGGATTCCTAACAATCATTAGCCTGTTTAGTTTAAATAGTAAAAGCAGTAATGTAATATAATTTTTTGCCCAATTTCTTTTTAGCAGTTTGTTCATCTCGAGGGAAGTCAAAGGAAAATACATAACTGTATTCTAAAATTTAAAAAAAAAAGAGAAAAAAACGAGGCTATCAAAACCACAACTACAGAAATTAATTTGTGTTGAGGCAAATTAAAACTAGAACAGTGAATTCCATGAACTACAGACTAGAAAATAGAAAAAAAATTGTGCATGGAAGAAAAACTGCAAAAATTACCAGTACCAAAATTACCAAAGTTTCTGACTATTCTGAAAAAGGGTTTATTTTAAGTTTAAAATAAAACAGCATTTCATAAAGATATGAAGTCTAGTGAAATTATTATCTTTGTACTTCATAAAAAGAACATCATGTGCCTTCAACCTGTATGTTTGTACCACAACGGGGACAGGGCTTTGAGTTCTTATCAAGCCATTCCTGGCTGCACAACTCCTCCACTGCTTTCTGAAGCACTCTGCGCCCATAGGACTTTTCCAACCGCTGCTTTTCAGATTCATCTGCCTTTAAGTACTCATCACGCAGTGCAGAAAGTTTCTCTGAAAAGGAAAAACCCAAGACAGACTGAAAAACAAAATAACTAGCTAATTCAAAAATTCCTTATACCTCCTGTCAGTCTAATAAAAGTTCAGGCACGAATGACAATGGGATTCCAATTGCAGGTTGCCTGAGTCAATATCTATTGCATAATCATTTTAAATACCTGAAATTGTTGTTAGAAAACCAGAAGTATGACCATTTGAAATGGCACAAATCATACAATTAATTAGCACCACCAAACCAAACAAGACAAGCTAATAATTTAAGCTATTCTCCCCCTATAACTACTCCCTTGCACGAGGCTTTTCTACCAGATTCACTCAACTGAATTACTGATCTGAGGATCAGCTTACATCTTCTGTGGCCTAAACATATTTTACTTTTGTAAGTGAATCATACAGATCTAATATCCCTTAGCAAAACTAATGCTTTTCAAACACTGTTTATAAATAATTTTAAATAAAATTTCAAAGAGCATGGCTAAAAATCAATTTCAACTTGAATACTTAACAGTTTAATTATTAGGTAATAACCAATATTCTGTATCTAGTTTCACAGTACTATAGTTGAAGACAATGATGACTGAAGTTGATCTAAAAGTTTCTACTTTCCATTTACGTTTAATCATAATAGCCATTGGTAACAGAATTATTTCATTCTTTCATCCCCCAACAATGGCGTAATTTGCACTGAATTAAAAAAAAAAATTGTGCTGGAAACCGGGCTACCTCTCAAATATAAAGAGTTTATTTTTTAATGCAACAAAATAAATTATTCTCTAAAACACTGGCTGACTACATTGTGTCATGGAAAATTTTATATTTGTTAGCAACCCAATTAGTTTAAGCAGTGACTTGAACAATGACATCAGGTCAAAACCGGTCATAGTATGTGAATGGATTGTGAGCATGCCCAGAGCGGAACATATAGCCCTGTCCATTTTGTGTTGTGTTAAGAATCATGAACATACCTTCCTTAGTGTGTTGCATAAGGTAATGGTTCTGAAAGAATTAATGTTGAAGTTACATTAATGCCACTCAATCTGCTGATGTCATACAATCTTTCGTGTAAACAGGGAGTTCTACATTAGCCTTCGAATAAAAGCAAAACATTGAGAATGCTGGAAATCTGAAACAAAAATTGAAAATACTGGCAGGTTTGAAAACATCTCTGGAGAGATAAACAGAATTAACATTGAGTCCAGCTGGACTCTTCAGAACTTCCAGCATTTTCTGTGCTTGCTACATTAGCCTATGCAGGGAATAGATGTATTCTGCATAACTCCCAAGCATCCTACTAATGCAAGTTGGCCTGACTGATTTGATGCAATAAAACATCTTGTTCAACAAGACAAGCGTTTCTTCAGTTAAACTCATCACTGAGAATTAAACAGACTCTAGATACAGTACAGGCAAAGGAGAATTGATGTAGTGAACACCTCAACCGTCCCTTACCCTGTACCACTTACTGGCAGAGGTGACCAAGGTACCAGCAATGACAATCAGGGCAATTCCAAATTGTAGTTCCAGTGAAAACTCAATTTCAGGTTAGGTTACGAATTCTAGCGCATGTTTAGTGTGGCAGCATGACCAGCAGTGCATGTTCTAATCATTTTTAACAGCAGAACAACCCTGCTATTTATAGAATAGATAACCCTTGCAAGATTGGTCTCCTTTTTGTGCCAAAGGTCAAGGGTGGCACGAAGGGGAGCCGACTAGATCCCATCAGTTGGCCAGAGGCAACTGAAACAAAAAGTTTGCTACCTTCAGAATACTGGTCAGACAAGTTCTTGGGAGGAAGAGGTTCCAGGCAACAGAGATGTTGTTATCAGCAGTATCCAGATTGTCAGGGCTTGAGTATTTCTAAGGAGCTAAGAAGGCAGTGGAAGGTTGCTGGCTCTGTTTTGCCGAGGTGGGGAGAAAGGTTTCCATAACAGAAATAGTACAGACAGTAGTTGAGGAGATAGAGCTCACTGAAGTTCCAGAAACCATATAGTGGCTGATAATTGGCGTGAAGGAGGCCCACAAGCAATATATGCTTGGTGCACCAGAGGCAAGCTGACAGTCAGAGTAACGGAGGAGCCAGCTAAGTGAAGATAGCTGACTACAAAACAGCTGAATTCATGCAGTGTGTAGGTGCTGGATGTAGCCTCGACAATTCATGGAAGACAAAAATTTTTAACGAGATTTGTTAACATGTGGTGTCACTGACACCTGTATGAGATGCTTAGAAATTCATGGGATCTGTCAAACCTACTAATTGACATGCTCTGGGGCGTCTGACCACAGCTTGTTGTTACTCTTATTAATTTCATATTAATTCTGGATGTTAAAGTTCAAGCCGTATGGTACAGAAATCAATACTGACTCTTTCTAAAATCAACCCACCTTTCACCAAGTAACTACTAATTCTGTTCCATCTCTGTCTCCCGTCCCAGCCTCCTGATCAAAATCCTGGGATACATCTCAATTATAATCATTACCATGATTGCATTTAAAAAAAAAATGAGACATGTAGGCCAGGTGAGGCAAGTATGACAGGTTTCTTTTCTGAATGGATATTAGTTAATCAGATAGATTTTTACCACAATGGTTAAATGATCACCATTAAGTTAGCTTCAATGACCAGACGTTCATTGATTCAATTTCATTATTCACTGTGGTGGCATTCAAACCTGTATTCCGTGAGCATTCGTCTGGATCACTAGTCCATTGGCAACATACACAACCACTGTCTCTTGAGCATATAAATCACCATCCATCCCTTGAAACATTTTCAAATCACTGCCTGTTTACATTTTAATACACTACCAAAAGTGCAACATAACTATTATTTAAAATATAAAGTCAAATGAAAGCATAGTTTACCTGCTTTTAATCTGCATGGAGAAATTCCATGATAAGCCATTTCACATAATGCACAAAAAGCATAACGACATCCTGGACAGACACCCATGGTGTTTCCAGGTTCAAGCATCACCACTGACTTGCAAACAGTACGAGGGCAATATACCACGTCCGTCATTAGATCCAGTGTAGACTGAAGGAGAAGGCGGTCATATCGTGCAAACGTTTCCTCGTAGACGAGCTCTTTTACCTATAGCAATGCAATACATTCGTATGCTAAATTTATACTCAAGAAATTCAATTTAATCTAATGGACAAGTTTCATTCTTTATTTTCTCAATTTAGAGAACTTCTAAAGTGGATATTAACACCCACTAATTTTCTACATCAATCAGATTCCTTCAGATTATTTGTTTCATGGTTTAAAGATTCTGCTAAAATGAAATTTGAAATGAATTAACCAGTACTTCAAAATACATGATTGTCAATAATACTGCTGATGTCCCAATACAATTGTAACAATCAGCATGAATATCAGATTTGGGGCAAAGTAGCAGTGTTTCATCGTTGTAGAATAAAACACTTTGTAGCCTGATCTACTCTTTCATTCAGTACTTGATAACGGTGATGAATGCATAAAAGAGGATAACTAAGTATATTCACATTAACATAACTAATTTAAAATTTTGTCAATAAGCAGAGCTATAGATCAGCTGGTTGTGCACTCAGTCCAAGTAGTGCCCAGCCTATTTGCTTGCTAACTTGCCCAAAGGTCTTGTTATCCACCCAGAGCTCAATAGCTCATCTGTCCAGAATACATAATTATTTCACTGCCTGGTCAAACTGTGTTGAAAATCATTTCTAATTGAAATTTCCCACGATTTGAGAGTCAGCACAATGATGCTCGTAGGTTCAGGAATACTGTTCAGAAGTACAGCTGGAAGTCAGATATGGAAGTTGACCTAATAGCAAAGAATAAAATACTTAGTGCAGCATAAGAATGAGGTAAAGGAGGGGAAGAGAAGGGAGCCAAAGACGGTCTTAGGACAGGCAGGATAAAATCGTACAAGAGTAGTGCCCACAAAGCTGGACAAATAAAGAGGAAGGGCTCGGAACATAGATCTAGATGCAGGAGTAGGCCATTCTACTCCATCATTCGATGACATCATGGCTGATCAGGCTGTGGTCTCAACACCATCTCTGTTTGACCCCACATTACAGAGGGTGTGGTGACTGTGTCAAATACCATGGAGTAAAACTGCCAATATGACACACCTTTCAAAAAGGGAGGCAGCAAACAGTGGAAACTACAGGCTGATTACCCTAACATCTATTGTTCAAAAAATGTTAGAATCAATTAAGAAATTAATAGCAGCACATTTGGAAAATGATAATCTAATCGAGTTGAGTTGGCATGGCTTCATGAAAGGGAAATTGTATCTGATTAATTTCTTATGATTAAAGAGCCTATGGTTTGGAGCTAGTGTGGAGAGAGAATTGGCTAATGGCAGGGACAAGTGGGTTATTTTTCATGTTGATAACACAGTAGGCCAGGCAGCATCAGAGGGGCAGACAAGTTGATGTTTCGGGTCAGGACCCTTCTTCAGAAATCCTGACCCAAAACATCAACTTGTCTGCCCCTCTGATGCTGCCTGGCCTGCTGTGTTCCTCCAGCTCCCCACTGTGTTATCTCCGACTCCAGCATCAGCAGTTCTTACTATCTCTTTTTCATGTTGGCAACTTGCAATAGGGTTCCACAGGAATCAGTGCTGAGACCATAGTCATTTATAATATATATTGAAGACTTGAAGGAAGGAAGTACATGTACTGTAGCCAAATTTGTAGACCACAAAAAGGTGGTTATGAGAGGGATGCAAACAGTTTACTGACAGATATTAAAAGGTTAAGTGAACAAAAAGTTGGCAAATGGCATATAAATGTGGAAAAATGTGAAGTTGTTTGTTTTGGAAGGGGCAAGAAAAGAACAGGGTATTGTTTAAAAGGAGAAAAACTGCAGAAAGTTGCAACAAAGAAAGTTGAGGGTAGTTTTGCACGAAATACAGAAAACTGGTGCACGGGCATCAGGTAATTAGGAAGGCTAATGGAACGTTGGCATTTATTTCAAGGTGAGTGGAGTATAAGAGTATGGAAGTCTTATTGCAACTGTATAATGGGTTGGTGAGACCACATCTGGAATACTGTGAACAATTTTGGTCCCCTGACTTAAGAAAAGATATTACTTCATTGGAGACAGTTCAGAACAGCTTTACAAGGATGATTCCCAGTATGGTGGGATTCTCTAATCAGCAAAGGCTAAAACGGTTGGGAATCTACTCACTGGAGTTTAGAAGAATGAGGTGATTCCCATTGAAACACATAGGATTTTTAAGAGGCTTGACAAGGTAAATGTTGTTTTTCTTAATGAGACAGACTAGGACCACACGGTATAGTCTCAGAATAAAGTGGCACCAATTAAAGACTCAGACAAAGTGGAATTTCTTCTCTCAGGAGGTTGAGTGTCTTTGGAACTCTTTGCCATAGACAGCTATATATTTAAGGCTGAGATAGATTCTCAATCAGTAGGGGAAACAAGGGTTACAGGGGAAAGGACAGGAAAGTTGTCCCAAGTAGTGTCAGATCAGCCATGATCCTATTAAATGACGGAGCAGGCTCAAGGGGCCAAATGTCCTACTCCCATTCCTGTTTCTTATGGTCTTAGGTCAAGAGGACAATACTGATAATGTACTGTCAGAGTTACAAGGGATGTGATAAAATGATTTCTAACTTTTGCCAGAGTTGATTTATTGCTAGGAACAGGGGAAAAGTTGAACTGAAGACATTTAAACAAGCAGGTTAAGAAATGTGCTGGAAGGTTAAAAATATGCTTTGAAGGAATAGTGAAGATTCAGGTGAAGAGGATATATAGGAAGCTAAGTAAACCATTTTCTAAATAATGTAATGTTCATATTACACTTTGCTTTCATATTTTTATATTAGGAAAAACAAATTACAAGCAATTTCATTACTCTGAAAAATGTTTCTGTTCTGTCAATACATTTTTAACACTCATCAGGGTTGCAGGAAAGCGAGATAAATGGTGTATAGTATACCCTCTAACATGCCAATCTTACAATGATACTTTTTAAAAAGTTTGTGGAAAATGTACTGGGAGCTTAGAGCTTGCTGACTTGTTAATTTGTTAACTAATGATTCCTTTGGAAAGCCCATTAACTCATTTAAACACCTAAAAAAGTGCTCCTTATGTAAATACTTTCAAATTTTTTAATGTCCTCACTTTAGTACAAAACACCATCTCTATTTCTACCCTGTCCAGCTTAATAATCTTGAATGCTTTGCAGCTTGCATTTCAGTGAAAACAGTTAACACAATTCACCTTCTCCAGGTTTGTTAGAAACAAAGTGATGCAGTGCTGGACATTTCTGATCGAAGACAGATAAGTTATGGATGCTCAGTCTATTCAGGGGAAGATGTGGGCATTCATTGTCAAAAAACTGAGCCCCTTGAGTAAATCACCATGCTGGAGCAGCAATTGGTCATGTGTTACAGCACAGATGTTTAGGGATTTCTGGATTATACTCTAAGATGTGGTTGACCAAGTGACTTTTAGACATTAAGAACATAGCTGAATGAGATCCAAAAGAATAATAGGAGAGAGACAGGACTCAAAAATGAGGGAACTCCCACCTCTAGAAAATACGCAGCACTGGACAAGTATGAGGTGGATAGCAACAGTAATTCAGAGAACAGCAATCAAGAGTAGTCAGAGAAATTTTGTTATATATGTATAGAGTGCCACACCATACATTGGCTCCTCAATGCTATAGTGCAAGATGTTATGGAACAGGTTGAAAACTCTGGAAAGAGACACAGCAACCAAACTAATAAAATAAATTTGCAATAGTGCACAGATAGTTTAAGAACTGGCTTGAGTAATAAGAACTCAAGGGTGATCATCTCTAGACAGTTTCTTAGACCATGGGCAAGGAAAAGAAGATTAGGGAAGTCAACAACTAGCTCCAGAGGTGGTCGAATGTATGAAAGATTGATATTCTCAGGGCTTTGCAGACATTTTTGACACAAAGTACATCTACTCAAGAGATGGTGACTGTCATCTGAAATGAAATGACACCTTCTTAACATCCTTACAGAAAAGGTAAATAGACCAGTGAAGAGGTAAACTTAAACCCTAATAATTGCAGAAGGGTGATGAATTAAGTTTGAGAGAATAGATAAAACAAAATCGTGGTTAATGATAAGTGACAAGTAGTATAAAAAAATTAAACAAACAAATCAGAAAGAACTGAATCTGGACTGAGCAGTTGTACATGAATGCACAGGACTGCCACTAGAATATTGTTCATATACCAAGGAAAGAACCTCGATTTGATTCTGGAAAATGCGATGCTCAGGAAACTCCCCAGTCCACCAATCCAATGTTGAGACATCCAGGTCACTCCATACTTTACATATTTTCAATACTTTTCCACCATACTTTCTGTATGGCCAGAAACCACTTGTCCTATATCCTAGTAACTAAGGATTGTTTTCATAAGCCCTTTGTAGTTTTGTAATAGATTATTTAATAGCACAAATTTCTCATATCAACAAATCTGTAGCCAACTTAAGGTTTACTCTCATTCTATCAAGTGCAAATTTAAGACATCGTTTCAAAGATTTCACGTGCAATGGTGGAGGTTATAGATGAAATATAATGCCTGGAGTACAACAGTTAGGAATGTGTGTAAGAGGTATAGACACACACATTTATGAATTTTACAGCAGTTGGGAGTTAGTCAGGTTCTGGCCAATTTTTCGGCTAACTCATTAACATCCTGACAAACAGTGCATTTTCATGCTCATGTTGCATATTTTTTATCATGTAGAAATAAACTAATTAGCAGGTAATTATAAAGCTTAAAATTCAAAAAAGAACTTACTTGAGCAGGTGTGGCAATAGAAGTACACTTTGGCTCAGGACAATTAAGGCACTGAACATTCCCATCACGGATTTGTATCTCAAAATATTCTTTCAAACAGGCCTTGCAATACACATGGTTACACTCCTTCAAGTCCATGCAGTCAATGCCCAGCTTTTCACAAAAGCATACACTGCAGGTGAAAATCTTGCTATTAAAGACTTTTTGTTTCTGATTCTGATCAAAGTCCAAAATTTCACGTAAAACACAAGCACATGACTCCACATCCTGGATCGCTCTCGGGTCAAGAGGAAAGTCTTGCAAGTTCTTCAGTTTGTCCTCTGATCCAAATTCATTATGCTTTTTTCTAACCAAAGTACTTTCAGATTTGTCTTCAATGTTTTTGATTTCTAATGGAGACTCAATTAGCAAAAAGGAGAGCGTCTCTTCTTTTAAGAACTGCATCCATGAAAATAATATCACACAATTGCCATTGTCTTTCCAAATTCTATCCAGGCAAGAACAAAGTGCAGAGAGCTGTTGAGACACAAATAAGCAGGTTAAGAACATAAGGGGAAAAAAATGTTTGAAATTTGAAGCAGCAGAGAAGTAAGACACTCACCGCTTGCCTCAAACATGAGCTGCTAACAAAGGCTATGGTGTGTTCTTTTTCCCTTTTCCGAAAGCAATTTAATTCTGGCACCAAGAAAAACGGAATCTCTTGGTGTACTGTAAAAGTAATGCTTACAAACAGATTGGCAGCCAATCACCGAAGCATTCTTAAACAGCAAGCCAGACAGTTAAAAGCTTTCAAAATCCTTGATGTTTGATTTACATTTCCAGATAAATTGAAAAAAACAACAAAATAACAATTGAATTTTGAAACTAAAATAAGAACATGAGATATTGGATTTAGAACTAACTAGCTGATCCTTTCAACCCGCTCTACGTTTCAAGATTAGAGACAGGAACCAAGTTGACTAAAACAATTCATATTTCTTCCATTAGTCCCTTAGCAGCCAAAAATCTATGGTCTTCTATTTTGAATAGCACCACAGCTTTCTAAACATAAAGAAATTTTTCTTCATCTCAACTCCAATGGATTGACTCCCTTATTCTAACATATTCTAACATTGTACATGATGCCATTCAAGAGAGGACAGTGAGGAGGAATGTATGAATTGGTTGACTTAAATTCATACTCACGATCCTCCCTCTCATGATCTATTGATCACATCCCACATTGATCTCTGTGGCCTGGTCTCTGCTCTTTGATTTACTACATCTCCCTAAATTTGACTCCTTTGGCCCAACTATAACAGTTTAAAATCTTCTCTCCTTTCCTAGTTACATAGTTGGCAAGAATATTGGCCTCCACATGGCTCAGGTGGAGACCATCCCACTGACACAGATCCCACATTCCCCAGGACTGGTGCCAGTGCACCACAAACCAGAATCTATTAATGAGCCATTCATTGATTTTTCTAATCTCTTTTATCCCAAATTCAATTTGCACCTGGCTCAAGTAATAATCCATGGATTACGATCTTTGATGTTCTGCTTCTTAAATCTGATGCCTAGCTGTTCATACTGAAGATGCATAATCTCTCGTGCATCATTGGTAACTAGATAGACCACAATGACTGGATCTTACCCCTCCCACTGCATGTTCATCTCTATTGCTGAGCAAATGCCCCAAACCCTGGCACCTGGAATTCAACACAGCCATCTGAGCTCATGCTCTTCACAGAGAATGGTATCAATCCCCTTCGCTATAATGGCCCCGATTACCACTACAGTCCTTCTTATTGTCCCCTCTTCATTGGCTTCCTGTACCACAGTGCCACGGTTAGTTAGCTCATCCACCTGCAGCCTTCAGACTCATCGAGACAAGCTGAAAGAACCTCAAACCTGCTGGCCAATTGTGAAGGCTGAAGCTCCTCTGATCTGCTTACTTGCAGTCACATGCTTTTGTCCTGAACACTGACCAAAGCAAACAATCCAACCCTGAGAGGTTCTGTTCTGATCAAGGGTCACCAGACCCGAAATGTTAACTCTGATTTTTCTTCACAGATGCTGTCAGACCTGCTAAGCTTTTCCAGCAACTTCTATTTTTGTTCCGAAGAGGTGTGACTGTTTCATGGTACAAAAAAAATCCAGCTAACTTCTTGCTTCCGTGATATGTTGCTGTGACCATGATTCAGTCTACAGTTACGTTGACAGCAGTTTGTCAAGATGTGTTAAAGAAAATTTTCTTGAACACATTTATCAATATGCAAATGTAACTACTAGAGAAAGAGCAAAACTTGATCTTTTCTTGGGATAAATACAGGGCAAGTGACTGAAGTGTTCGTGGGGGAGCACTTTGGGACAAGCAATTATAATTCTACTGGTTTTAAAATAGTTATGGAAAACCTTGGGCCTCGTATAAAAGTTAAAGTTCTAATTGGAGTAAGGCAAGTTTTGCTGAGACAGGAACTTTCAAGAGTTGGTTGGAGTAGACTGTTAGCAGGTAAAGGGATGACTGACAAGTGGGAGGCTGTCAGAAGTAAGATAGCGAGAGTTTAGAGGCATTATGTCCCTATTAGACTGAAGGGTAAGGTGGTAAGAGTAGGGAACAATGGATGAATAAAGATATTGAGGCTCTGGTCAAGAATAAGAAGGAGTCATATATTAGGTATAGACAACTGAGATCAAGTGAATCTCGAAGAATATAAGGGGCGGAGAGGCATCCTTAAGAGAGAAATCAAAATGGCAAAAAAAGGAAATAAGATAGCCTTGGCAGGTGAAGGATAATCCAAAGAGATTCCACAAGTACATTAAGAGCAAAAGAGCAACTAGGGAGAGAATAGGCCCCCTTAAAGATCAACAAGGTCAGCTATTTGTGGAACCACAGGAGATGGGACAGATACTAAATAGATATTTCGTATCTTTTTCTTCACTGTGAAGAAAGAAATAGAGGCTAGGGAACTCGGGGGAAATAAATATTGTCTTGAAAACAGTCCACATTACAGAAGAGGAAGTGCTAGAGGTCTTAAAATATAAAGCTGGATAAATCTCTGGGACCTGGTCAAGTATATTGCAGGATATTACGGGAAGTTAGGGAAGAAATGGTGGAGCCCTGAGCAGATATATTTATTATCTACAGCCACGGGTGAGATGCTGGAGGACTGGAGTGTGGCTAGCCTTTCTTTAAGGAAGGCTGTAAGGAGAATCTGGGAACCAAAGACCTGTGAGTTTGACATCAGTGGTGGGTAGGTTGTTGGAGGGGATTCTGGGAGATAGGATTTACATGCATTTGGAAAGGCAGGACTGATTAGGGATAGTCAGCATGGCTTTGTGCGTGGGAAATCGTCTCACAAACTTGCTTGAATTGTTTGAGGACTTAACCAAAAAGATTGATAAAGGGCAGAGTGGTAGACATTGTCTACGAGGACTTTAGTAAAGCCTTTGGCAAGATTTTTGCATGGTAGATTAATTAGTCAAGTTAGATCAAATGGGATTCAGGGAGAGCTTGCCAAATGGATACAAAATTGGCTTGAGACAAAGGGTGGAGGTGGAGAGTTTTTTTTGGACCCGAGGCCTGTGACCAGCAGTGTTCCACAAGGATCGGTACTGGGTCCATTTTTATTTGTTATTTATATAAAACAATTTGGATGAGAATTTAGGAGACATGGCTCGTAGGTTTCCAGATGACACCAAAATTGGTGATCTACTGCATAGGGAAGGTTATCTACGATTACAAAGAGATCTTGATCAATTGGGTCAATGGGCTTAGAAGTGGCAGATGGAGTTTAATTTGGATAAATGCAAGGTTTGCATTTTGGTAAAACAAACAAGTACAGGACTTATACAGTTAATGGAAGAACCCTGGGTAATGTCAAACAGAAAAATCTAGGGGTTCAGGTACATAGTTCTTTGGAAGTTGCATCACAGGTAGACAGGGTGGCTAAGAAGGTGTATAGCAAACTTGCCATCATTGTTTAGACTGTCGAGTACAAGAGTTGGGATGTCATGTTGATGTTGTACTGATTGATGTGTTATAGGGAGAGGGTTCAGAAAAGATTTACAAGGAAGTTGCCGGAACTGGAGTGTTTGAGTTATAAGGAAGGCTGGATAGGTTGGGACTTTTTTTTTGGTCGGAGTATAGGAGGTTGAGGGGTGGCATTATAGATGTTTATAAAAGCAGGAGGGGCATAGATAAGGTGAAGCAAATGTCTTTTTCCTAGGGCGGATGAGTTCAAAACTCAGGGGCATATTTTTAAGATGGGAGGAGGAAGAATTAGAAAGGGGCTGATGTGAAACTTTTTCACACAGAGGGTGGTTCATGTACGGAATGAACAGCCTGAGGAAGTGGTAGATGCAGGTACAACATTTAAAAGACATTTGGATAGGGACATGAATAGGAAAGGTTTAGAGAAATATGAGCCAAAGTGAGGCAAATGGGACTAGTTAAGTTTGGAAAACTTGGTCAACGTGGACAAGTTGGACTGAAGGGTCTGTTTCCTTAATGTAAAAACTCTACAACTCTATAACTGAGCCAAAGTTTCTTGAACGTCAAACATTTGTCACAAACAGGTTTGCTCGGGACCAACCTAATATGCAAGAACTACCATATGCTGCAACTGTGGCACATCTGTCTCACCATGATATGGTTTTTTTAAAAAAAAAACCCATTCATGGAGTGGTGTCGCTGTCCAAGAGGCAGGTAAGAGTCAACTACATTGCCATATGTCTACAGTCACATGTAGGCCAGACTAGATAAGGATAGCAGTTTTCTTCCCTAATGGACATTAGGGAAGCAGATGGGTTTTTCAAACAATGGTTTTGTACTCATCATTAGACTCTTAATTCCAGATTTTTATTAAATTCAAATTTCATCATCTGCTGTGGTAGGATTCAAATGTGGATCTCCAGAACATTAGCCTGGGTGTCTGGATTAATAAATTAGCAGTAATACAATTCGGCCATCTCCTCCTCAATTCTAAGGAAATACATATTTATTTTATTCAACATAATATACACTATGTTTTTTAAATCATTTTATTTACCTTACTGTTCTAACATATTAAGCCTTGGAAACAGAACGTACTTTAATCTTGTATTTCGTTTCCATTGGTAGGAGAGACTAGGACCCGAGGGCACAACCTTAGAGTAAAGGGAAGACCTTTGAGAACGTAGATAAGGAGAAACTTCTTCAGCCAGAAGTGGTGAATCTATGGGATTCACTGCCACAGAAGGCTGGGGAGGCCAGATCATTGAGTACATTTAAGATGGAGATAGATAGCTTCTTGATTGTCAAGGGGTTGAGAAACTTATCAGCCGTGATTGAATGGTGGAGCAAACTCGATGGGCTGAATGACCTAATTTCTGCTCCTATGTCTTATGGTCTTAATCATTTTCCAAACACTCACCAATTAACCAGCTTCTCCTGTAACACAGCAAGAGTCAATTCCTCAAGGTTGAACAATTTTAGGAACAGCAACCGAACATTTCTTTCCCTCACTCCATTTAACTTCCTGAAGTCCTTAACTCCTGCACTCTACTGTAAGTTGCACTCAAATCAAGGACAGATTTTGGTGAACTGACAAGAGCATAATTTCATTTAGGAGCAAATTGCTGCAGTTTGTCCTGAACAAAAAATGCTGGAAATCACAGCAGGTTGAGTCTAGATAACACTCAAAATGTTAACTTGCTCTCTCTCCATGGATGCTCCCTGACACACTGATTTCCAGCATCAGTGTGTCAGGGAGCATCCATGGAGGGAGAGCAAGTTAACATTTTGAGCGTTATCTAGACTCGAAACCTGCTGTGATTTCCAGCAATTTTTGTTCAGCATAGATTTAATGATGCATGAATGTGTTTGGGGATTATAGAGAAACTCCAACACGGAAATGGGCTGTTTGTCTTTCAATTGGTAACACTTCAGATCTCAAAAAAGACAACCTATTATCGTACAAATCACAAACCCTTGCACTGCACTCAAGCTTTAAAAGTACTGCATATAAAGGCTTCTTCTGCTTGGTCTTAAATCATATTTAAAAAGGTTAAGTTTATCAAGCAGTTAACAAAGTGGAAATGACACTTGGCTTTGAACGTTAAATTAAGAAAGTCATGTTAAAATCTTTACACATCACTGGTTAGGCCTCTGCTGGAATACAATGTACATGTGAACCGTTCTGAAGAAGGGTAACTGAAGTCAAAACATTAGCTCTGCTTTCTCTCCACAAACACTGCCGGACCTGCTGAGTGTCTCAACAATTTCTGTTTTGTTTCAAATTTCCAGCATCCAGTTCTTTGTTTTATTACACCCAATGTATCCTGGGCATCATGGTTTGGTAAGGACAGAAAGGCCTCAGAGGGTACACAGAACATTTATCAAGATGATGCCAGCTATGAAGAAAGACTGGAGAAGCTCTGACAGTTCTCCTTAGAACAGGTAAGAAAAAGCATAAAAGATATTTCAAAGTTTTAGGGGGTCAATTTAGCAAAGTAAGGTCAGTAACCAGATTTTAAATAACTGGCTTGACAACTCGAGGGGAATGAGAAAAAAATTCAGTGAGAGGGTTGCGTCGATCTAGAACATTCCTGAAAGGGTGGAAGAATCAGATTCAACAGGAACTTACAAAAGGCAATCAGACATGTATCTGAAGAGAGCTGATCTGAAGGATTGTGAGGAGAAAGGTTGACTGCAATACTGGACAACATTTCCAAAGATTCAGCACATGTTAAATGGGGTAAATAGCTTCATTCTGTACTGAAAAATTTAATTCTATGTCTCTCATTTTAACCTCCTGGAAATACTTTTCTCATCTATTCAGGCATAACTTTAAACACTACATCAAACAATTCAATAATCACCTCTCTTCAACTGAAAACCTGCCAATTGGAACTCTGACAAGAGTACTGCCTTCTACTGTCTCTCAGAACTTTACAAAGGCATATTTTAGAATTTAAAGATCTGCACATTCCACCTCCTTAGTGTCTCAGATGCAAGAAATTTACGACTTGCAGCACCAGCACCTTTTAAATACTATTTAAAATCCTCTGACTTAAAGGTTTTGCTTTCCTTCTGTTTGTGAAATTTTCTCCTTTCATTCTCCCTCAAAGCTAATGACTCCTAATAACTATAATTCCATTATTTATGACACTCATGACCAATCTTCAGGTACAAGTCCAAAAATTGTATTTCTGCAGTCTACTTCCTACTAACCGTGGACAAGAGAGCAAAAATAATTACCCCTTTGCCTTTTTCTGCTCTTATTAATGTTCAAAGATTAACGGAAAAACAGAGGCAGACGATGATGCTGATATTTTTCCTCTTTAAATCACTGATGGTGAAGTCAATTTTAGAAAGCTACCATCACCCTAATGATGACCACTAATTCAATAGGCACTTGGAATTGAACCAGCTATCTTGACTTACATGGCAAAGCAAACTGGGAGAGTGGGGACCACGGGTTGAAGTAAACACTTTCTTCTGCCAGAAAAAAAAAGCAGAGCCTCACAACAATAAATGAAACTATTCTGGAGTGTTAAATTTAATGATCTTCTGTTAAACTTATTAACTTTCAGAGATTTATTCACAGATCTTTAGAAGCTGCACTCCAGCCAATTCTTTACTCAGTTATAAATGGAAAGTTTCAATGAGTCATGGATCAATTCTCAGGCAGACACGTTACATCATCCGTTAATTTTACAATCCCACGTGCTGGAATCATTCATACCAAAACAGCACGAGCATTAATGTCAGCAGTAAATTCAGAAAGGAAACACCAATATCTTTCAAGAACAAAAAAATTCACAGAATTTTAAAACAAAGACATTGGGACAATCAAAAAAACAATTTGCTTAATAAATTAATGTGAATACAAACATAAATTTGGAATAGAAGTAGGCCATTTGATTTGTTGAGCTTAATCTGCCATATGACAAAATCTGATTGTGATCTTTACCTTCCTCTTTATTCCCCAAAACCTTCAAAATCCTTGTCAGTCAAGATCTATTTCACTCAGCTTTAAATATACTCAGTGACCCTTTCTTCACTACTCTCTGGGAAGAGAATGCCAGAGACTAACAATCCTCAAAAAAAAAAAAAAAAAAAAAAAAACTGCCTTAAATGGGAGACACATTATTTTTTAAGCTGTGTTCCCTACTTCTAGTCTCTCCTATAAAAGGACAAAAATCCGATCAGCATCCACTCAGTCAAGTCCCCTCAGAACTGTACAAGTTTCAATAAGATCACCTCTCATTCTTCCAAAAGCTAGTGTACACCTCAAGCCGCACCTCCATCTCCTACCGACCAACCTCATCCCGCCCCCTTGACCTGTCCGTCCCCCCTGGACTGACCTATCCCCTTCCTAACTCCCTACCTACACTCACCTTTACTGGCTCCATCCCCACCTCTTTGACCTGTTTGTTTCCTCTCCACCTATCCTCTCCTCTATCCATCTTCTATCCGCCTCCCACTCTCTCCCTATTTATTTCAAAACCCCCTTCCCCTCCCCCTTTTCTGATGAAGGGTCTAGGCCCAAAACGTCAGCCTCTCTGCTCCTATGATGCTGCTTGGCCTGCTGTGTTCATCCAGCCCTGCACCTTGTTGTCACAGACCCAACCTGTTTAACCCTTCGTCACAAAGCAACTCCTTCATCGCAGGAATCATCCTAGTGAGCCTTCTATATATTGTTTCTAACGAACATTTACTTTCTTAAATAAGAAGAACAAACTTTTACACAGTTCTCCATTTGTGGTCTGCAAACCCTTCTAGAGAAGACTGTCAAGTGATGTTAAGATTTCAGATGTTACAATCAGGTTAGGGATTAGTAACTTCTTGAGTAAAATATAAATTTTGAAATCCCAGATACTCAAGAGATAAAGCCACAAGAATCCATAAGTTTTAAACAAACAACATGAACTTTACAATGCAAGGTTAGGAAAGTAAAATGATAAACCATATATGTGTATAAATCTTTCACATAACGTTCAGAATATACACAGGCTAACAAACAGTGGTCAAAACATCCTGACTGTGTCAAATTATACATGGTCAAGTCAGATGCTTTGGATTTTCAGCAACCCACCCAGACAGTAACAATGTGGGTCACTGAATCTCATTAAAACTTTGTCTCTTTCGTAAGGGTTCCCAATACTTCACTTTTGATGATCTATACGTACACTTCCTCAAAGCTACTCCAGCACAGGCTGCCTCAATGCTTGTTCATATCTTGGTCGTTCAATTGCTTCTCTCAAGACTACATACCCATGATTCCACTGCTCACAAGTGCCTAAATACCAGCCCAATTTTAGCCTTTTCACCTAATCAAGCTGGTGCTGCCACTGAGTTTTCAAGCTCCGACATCCAAACTTATTGGCTCTCTATTCCAATTGAATCAAACTGCTCCCAAAAAAAAGTAAATAAAAAATAAAAATAAATAAATAAATAAATCGCACCTGCCTGGGCCTCACAAGATTGCACTCCAGCATCTAATTATTAGCACAATTCCAGCTCTTTAGTTGCTCTGGTCATAGCTCTATTGACAACAGGCCATCTTTTGCTTCGACTGTATAAGCCAAATCACAGCGGCACTGTGGAAAAATTAAGTCACCTTTTTGACTTTTTCTTGTTGAGAAACTGACCAAAATGCACAGTAATAATCATTAAAGTCTTAGTGACCTATTGAAATACTTCAGGAGTCCCTTCAAAAGGTGGAACATTTGTTCTTATGTCACAACTTTAACTGCACTGGCTTGCGTAACACAAATGGATGCACAAAATGGATTTTGTAAGTCTCGTCACCATCTTCTAAAACCATAACAAAATCTCCCTACTTTTAGATTCCAATGTCTGGTTTGTCATAAGAGATTTAGTTATCAAGTAATTATACTCATAGTATGGAGGGAGAAATTGAAAAATAAGAAATTTTGACTTAAAAGTACTGCTATCTTAATTACACATTTCAAACAGCAAGGAATGCACTTGAGCCTTGGTAAAGGTGGCTATTAACGTGGGCGACTACCAAGCTGAGTTACCACACAATAGAAAATTAGTGGTTTGACTACTTGCCATATGCATTTTGTGTAACGTTCATATTAAATATCAGCGATGTTATGTAAATATATTATGGTATTCCAGAAAAACAAGGTTTGTTGTAAATAAAGTGGCAAAACAAGAGTGAAATTAAATCAAATTTCTTCACATTTTTATTGCCACGTTGCACTGCTGGAATTTACTCCAAGTTTTAACTGTACCCTTCCAAAGCCCCTTGTCCTTTCTTTATAATGTTTATTTCAATAAAAACAAGAATAACCTGCAAACCTGAGCTTGTGAAAGCCACTTGCAGCTCAAGGTGTATTTAGGAGCTGAACATGATGGATAATCTGGAGGAAGTTCAAACTTCAACGCAAGAGGTGGCAAAAAAGAAACTGCATATTCAATCAGGTCCTTTTTATTCTGCTTTTCGTCACCTGAATCAAGAAAAGTAATTCTCATTATCAGGAGGCACTTGCATTAAAATTTGCTAAACCACATGCGCTTCAAACCTTACAGTTATGACATATATCATCAGTTCCACTTACCTTGAACATTTATTCTGAAGTTTGGTGGCAATTCCAAACATATGCTTATTTCTCCACCTGTAGCAGATTCTGCCCTTTTAAACTCATCCTCCTCATAAATACTAGCAAGAGCCAGCAGTTCATCATCCTGTTCTTCTTTATCTCTGGCAGACATCTAGATTTCTGGGAATTGAACAAGATTTTTTTTTAAATAATGAAAATTGGTGCCAAATAACTCCTTATGATTGCAAGTAGCTACCTTAAAATCAGATTTTCAACCCATCCTCATTTTTAGTTCATGTGGAATTGTTAACTGAAAGGATAAAAAAAAAAAAAAAGTTTTGGTAGGAGAGTGGAGAGAAAACTTCCCAGTAAACAAATCAAGCATTTCAGCGCATGAGAACAGTCCGAGTGAAAACCCCTTTTAGTGATAGGACATCAGAATCAAGTTTGTTGTCCCTGCCACCAAAAAAGATTTTTGATAGACAAGTTAAATGAGTGGTAAGAAGGTGACAAATGGAATATAAAGTGGATAAATATGAGGTCATTAACTTTGGCGGAAGGTTAGAAAGCCTGGATTTCTTTTTGAAAACTGGCAAACTACCAAATACTATTATTCAGAAGGATTGGTATTGACATGTGTTACAAGAGAAATGCAGTACAGGTGTCTTTTTGAAATTTTACTGAGTTTTGCTATATTGCGTACAGTTGCGATCTCCACATCCAAGGAAATATATAATATCTTGTAGGTGGTGCAAAGATATGTTAGATGGATTCCTATGATGAAAAAAATTATCCTACGAGGAGTGAATGATTGGGACAAGTACAAATTTTCCATGGGAGTTTAGAAAACAAAAAGTGGAAAATGATCTCACTGAAGCAGATTAAAATTATGAGAGGGCTCACCAGTCCGGATGCTGTAAGATTGGACAATTCAACTGGGGCATCCAGAACTAGAAGTACATAATCTTAAAGGAAGGGCTCAACGATTTAGGATTGAGATGAGGAATAATTTCTTAATCCAGAGGTTGAGAATCTTTGGAAGTCTCTAACCCTATTGTCAAGTATACATAAGGCTGAGTATGACAGATTTTTACACTCTACAGGAATTGAGGGACACGAAAATTAGTAGAGTTGAATTTTAAGATCAATGATAACCTTATGAGATGGTCAGAGAAACAGAGTTAATGTTTTAAATCTGGCAACTCCTCTTCGGAACTGTTCTCAGATCGCCATCATCCAAAACTCTGTTTTACTATGAATAGTGGAGCAGGTTCCAAATGCTGTATGATTTACTCTTATTTCTTGGTTTCTTCCAACTTACACAAAAACAAAGACAATTTTCAAACATTTGTAGCATAACATTCATGCAGCAAAGGTAAAAGTCGACACGTTTGCCGATTTTGTGCAATTATCGATTGAATCCCAGATCAGTAAGCAAAACGATTAGAATGAGTTTCGTCCACTGACAATTAATACAATGGGAAGGGAAACGCACATTGCTATGTAGCAGTTTCAACACACTTACTTAATAGTATGGTACAAGTTTAAATCTAGTTTTTTTGCTGTGTTGAAGGATGCTATTAGGAGATAAATTGAACAATCTTAAATTTGGCTCCAGCCAACGTGTGGACAGCAAAATAAAAATTACACTCAGCTTCAATCACCTACTTTCCCTAGGTTTGCTGCTCAGCAAAATAAAATCTGACTGTCTTGGTAGGTGATGCTTTAATTATTTTCAGCATGAATTATCTGTAGTTCTTTGATGGATTGGTTGAACTATTCAAATCTTAAACAAACACACACTACTTTATGGCAGTGGTCATTCCGTGAGCTAGTATCAATCACGATTCGTTAAGAGTAGTACGTCATGCAATAGCAAATGAATAGAAGAGAAAGCAACCTGGGTTTTTACTTTTGATCCTTAGCCCCAGCAATACCAACAGAATGTGTGTGGACTGACAACAATTTTGATGTCTCTCCCTGCACTGTTTCCCCACCCCAACACCAAAGTTTGCAGTCAAGCTTCACAAGTTAATAAGTAGTGGCAACTTGGATAAAAGTCTATGGATGGATTAGCACACCCAGATTTCCAATCAGACATTGGCGCCTAATTGTGAGACTGATGACAGAGATTATGTTCCACCCTTCTAGCACTGACACCCTTTTCTCTAAAATATATTGTGTGTATATAGGTAAAGCTAACATTCAGTGGGGGGGGGAGAAATGTGGTCTAATTTAATTGCATAATTGGAAAAGATTTCAATCCATGTCATTTTATGCATTGAGCAAATGCACATTTATCTAGGAATATCTAACAAATGGTTAAAGTATTAAATGGACAGAAAAGTATCAGAACAATTTCACTGAATCAATTAACGTATTTTCTGTTAGTCACGCAATAAGGTAGATTCATTCAGAATGGCAACACTTTGTGCATAATTGAGTGTAGAGTGATACAGCGGTAATTGCCCTGTTTTGCAGATACTTCTAATCATCTGTGTGTTAGTTATGTCACGTCCAGGGCAGGAGGGTTGAACCTAAACTTTCTGATTGGCTTACTACCAGTTAACATCAATTACACAGAGAAAGGATAGAGATGATTTTCCCTGAGGAATATGGTTGTTATATCAAATTTGCAACTGAGGCCAGTTGTTTGCAGAACCATTAAGAATTAGATCAAATTGATTAAAAACTTAAATATAAATGAAAAATAAGTAAACATTTATATTGTCATATGTTGCTTTTGAGTAACTGTCATTCTCGATGAAAAACATGGCAGATGATGTAGCAGAATCTGAAAGTAACAAAGAACAGAATTTTTAAAAATTAAAAATTAGGTTCTATTACTACTGGTAGGTCATTTTGTTGTGTTTTAATTATATGTGTCCCAAAAAAACAAGTTTTATTTTAATTTGTTCAGGGGATCTGGGTGTCACAGGCTGCATCAGCATTTATTACCAATCCCCAATTATCCTCAAGATGGTGGTGTTAAACTGCCATCTTGAATTGCTGCAGTCCATTTGCTGCTGATACATTAATGATGCTATTAGAGAAAGAGTTCCAGAATTTTGACCCAGCAAGAGAGAAGGAATGGTGCTACATTTGCACGTCAGGAAGATTTGGGGATTGGAGTGAAGTTGTACTTCGTGATACCTGCCAGCCTTCTCTCTCTAAATGGCACTGGATGTGGATTTGAAAGCTGCTGTCAAAAGAGCAATTTTTGCAGTGCATCCTGTAGATCAAACATAACTGCTGCCACTGTGCATGGGTGGAGGAAGGAGTCAGTAACTGTGGATGTGTTGCCAAACGGGCTGCTTTGTCCTTGTTTGTATCAAGCTTCAGGAGTGTGGCTGGAGCAGCATTCTTCCAGGCAAGCGGAGTGCAGCATTCCATCCCACTCCTGACTTGCACCTTGTTGGGATTTAGAGGGATATGGGCCAAGTGAGACCAGGTCAGATTGGAATGTCTGGTCAGCACGGCCGAGTTGGATAAAAGGGTCTACGTTCATGCTACACGAGTCTGTGACAGTATAGTGAACCGGCTTTGGGGAGTCAAGACACGAGTTTAGTTCACATTTAAACTAATACTGTAAAGGAGATCAGGAGCTACGTGGCCGTGGAGGATTCCAAACTGAGTGTTAGCGAATGGTTTAATCAATAAGGAAGTGCAGCCTGAGAGTACTGTTGTTGATTCCTTCCAACACTTTATTGATGATTGAGTGTAGAGTAATGGAGCTGTAATTGCCAGGTTTCATTTGTTCTGTTTTGTAGATATTTCTAATCAACTTGTTCATATATGTTATGACATCCTGGAAAGGAATAGAATAGTAATTTATTGTCACTTGTATTTTTACAAAAAAAATGCAGTGAAAAATGTTTGTCTCCACACTCCAGTGCCTATATTAATAACAGAAGTCATATATATAAAGAAATTAATGCATCATATCACATCTTCACCCCACTTATGGGCCTCAATTGGCAGGACAAAAAGGTCAACCATAGGCTGGCCTGTCATCACAAATCCTACAGCCCAAGGAATAATCCCATGTCTGGGCTGCTACCAATACAAATACATTATTTCCTAAATCTTGAGGCCAAAAGCATATGCCCCACTCTAGATGTGGGGCATCAAATCCTTTGTCACAAGGCTCCCTCTGCTTTTAAGTTCCATCCACCTTTCAGTAAACACCAACTTACCATTTGCTTTCCTGGTTACTTGCTGTATCTGCATACCTGTGTTTCATGTACAGAAACATCCAGTTCCCACTGTACTGCAGTATTCTGTTGTCTCTTTCCATTCCCCTTTTCTGTTCTTTCCAAAGTGAATGAGCATACATTTTCTGTATTATTCTCCATCTGCCAATTTTTGCCCAATCACTTCTCTATCCATTTGCCTTTTCAGACCACGTCCTCTTTACAACTTGCTTTCCTAGCTATATTCATTCGGGTATAGTATTCAGATCCTGCATCTAAGTTGTTATAGATTTTGAGGCAACCTCCATGGTGACTGACAACTCCTGAAGAGAAATTCAAACTTATTGGAAAGGATGATGTATTAAGATTTCATATTTTAAAACCATAACTGTATCAAATGACTAAAAACAATTGACTAAATGGTACTGCCTTTAGTAAACAACTTATACAAAACTATAGAAACAAACAATTTCTTATCACTTGTCAGGATCACATGTCTCAAACAGCTCCCAGTTTCCAGTGGGTTGTTTACTTGTTACTTTCCTAGCCTGTTAACTCATAACCCCTGAGCTGTCTTTCATTGAAGGTACAGAGTCGGCAATACAGTAGTTTCTTCTTCTAGCTAGGCAAATCTTCCAGCCTCTTAACTTATGAACTCAGATGCATGATGAATAATAGAACCAACATTTTATCTGTTTATTGTGCAGGTTAGGCTAATTCTACCAGGCAGGGAGATAATGGCCTAATGGTATATTGTTAGATCGACAAGCACTCAAAATGCCAGGACATAACAGGCTACGAACCAAGTGCAAGTAAATGGAATTAGTGTTGTTTGGTTTTTATTGATTGGTATAGACATGCTGGGCTATTTCTACGCTGAATGATTCTAATGCTATTAATACAGAGACCCAGGTAAAGTTCCGAGGACCTGGGTTTGTATCAGATGGTGGAATTTGAAGAAAATTCTGGAATTAATGGTCGAATAAAAACCATGTAGTTGATTGTTGGGGAGACCCACCTGCTTCACAAATGTCCTTAAGGGGAGGAAACAGCATTACTTGCCTGGTCTTGCTTGCAGTTGAATCCAGACCCACAGCAACATGGTTGACTCTTAATTGCCTTAATAATCCTAACATAGTAAATAGTTGGACACTCCAGAAACAATTATTGTGAAGTTCCACTAGTTACAGTCTGACAAGCTGAAAATGATCCATTTATCTCAACTCCAATTTTCATCAATTAACTACTAATATATCCGTACAAATATAGTACGAGCCTATGGCTAAGTTGAATTTCTTTTATTCATTCACAGGACTTGGGCATTGCTAGCTGGGCCAGTATTTCTTGCCCAGCCCTAGTTGCCCTAGAGGAATTAAGAGTCAGCCATGTTGCCATGTGTCTGGATTCAAATGCAGGCCAGACCGGGTAAGGATGGCTGTTTCCTCCTAGCTCAGTAACCAGTTGTGTCACCTTATTGAATGCTTTTTGGAAATCTGAAAATTTAATGATTCTTAAGTAGGGGGAGGTAGTTGTTTCGTGGCATTATTGCTAGACTATTAATCCAGAGACCCAGGTAATGTTCTAGGGACCCAGGTTCAAATCCTTCCATGGCAGATGGTGGAATGTGAATTCAATAAGGATCTGGAATTCATCATTGTCAGCAATCACTAACAAGCATGATTGCTCACCTGCGAAATTCCTACAGTGCAACAGATATAATTTTTTAAAATATAATTTTCCCAATGACAGATGCAAGATTAGCTGACCTGTAATTTTTGCTTTCTGTCTCCCTCCTTTCTGCATGAAAACTGGAGTTTTGCAGATTAAGAGGTGACTTGAGAGAAACATATAAGATCCTGAGAAATTTTGAATGGTTTACATGGAAAAGAGGTTTCATTTTGTGGGAGAGTCCAGAACGAAGGGTGACTATTTAAAACTACAGGCTCACTCATTTAAGATTCAATAATTTCATTTCCACCTCAGAGATTCCAAAGTCTTTGGAATTCTCTTCCTTAAAAGGTGGTGAAAGTAGAGTCCTTGAATTTCTTTTTAAGGTAATGGTAGTATTTCTTGACGGGCACGGGAGTGAAAGGTTATCAGGGTTGGCAGGAATCAGATCAGCCCAGATCTTTGAACAACAGAGTAGGCTCCAAACAGTGGCCTACTGCTGCACCTAATCCATTGGTTCTTGTGGTATTCCATTTCAATGGGACAATTCCAAAATCTAAGGATTGTTAGAACAGTAAAATCACGTCTACTATTTCTGCAATCACTTATGTTAGGACTATAGGATGTAGACTATCAAGTCCAGGAGACTTGACAAGCTAGAGTACTGCTGAAAAACAAAGACATTTTTCAAAGCTTATCATCTTGCACTCACCAGGACAATTCACAAAAATACCATAGTGAAACTAACTTTATGCTGCATGAGAGGGGAGTGCTGTTTGTTTGAAAAGTTGTTTGTCAAGTGGTAGAGGTGTTGTTATGGAAAATACACGCGTTAATGTCAGTCAGTTGACAGCCACATTTTATTTAAAATTAGCCAGATTGAACACACAATGTTGTTTTAACTCAACAAGACAGGTGAGAACCATTTTTCAGGGCAGAGTCAAACTGCTGGGTTTAAAATTTTAAAAAAGCTGTCACATTAATAGGTGCATTCTTGGTACAACACACGTACCATGGTCCACTTGCCAACTAAGCATACCCCTGTCATACATTATTAATGTTGGTTTCCCCTTGAATTGTTACTCTTGCAAATTGTCCTTGTGAATGCAAGATGGAAAGGTTCAACAAAATGTGACTTTTTTCCAAAAACACCAAATTTAACTTTAAAATATTTTGAAAATTGCTAATGAACATAATGACAGACATTTTAATGAATATTAAAATAAAACCAAGAATCATGGATACTGGAAATCTAAAACAAAAACATAAATTGCTGGAGATATTCTAATTCTGATGAACTTTCACCAGACTCAAAACCTTGACTCTGCTTTCTCTCCATAGGTGCTTCCAGGCCTTAGTTTCTTCAGCAATTTCTCTTTCGTTGTTGAGAATATTAAATTCGCCAACTGCCAAACTTACCAATTCGCGCGCACACACTGTAACTCAACACTATGTTTCCATTCCTTCACGGTCACCAGGAATCTCCTTCCGAACAGTATATGAGTATACCTACACCACACGACTGCAACAGGCCAATTTGGGATGGACAGTAACTGGTGGCCTGACCGGTGATGCTTAAACCCCAGGATGAATAAAAAGTGCTTCCCCAAGAGTACAGCCAATTGTCATCTCCCATCATAAATAGTTGAGCGATTTCACTGTTAAATGACGGCAGCAAGTGCGACAAAAACGTGGCGACAACCAGAAAGTGAAGTCTGTGGCAGAAGATAGGCAAGATAAAGGCTCATGTTTATTACACTGAGGGGGAAAAAAAAGTGTCCAGGTTCGTTAAACTCAATTCCAAAACACCAGAACGGTAAACGTATTGCCTCGCAAATGTGATTGATAAGTCAGCAGTAGCAGTAGCAGTAGCAGTAGCACCCCCCCCCCCCCCCCCGTGTCCATGGCATCACCTCTACTACGATCAATAAACAGTACACCCTGGGACTCACCATAGCAACCTCCATGCACCGTGGCCCAATTCGCACCAGCCGATTTGGGGCATTTGCTTCCTTAAGGAAAGGCAGAGGAGGGTGGGTACAGCCTGCCCAGCCCTCCCGATGCGACCCAGCCGTCACGTTAGACTATCAGGGGGTACTTACCAGAGACCAGAGACCAGCGACTGACCCAAAACTCGCAGCACCAGCATCCCACGAAGGCCCTCCCAAACACACCACAGCGCCTTCCCTGCTCGCCAACTTAGCTTTATATGCAACAAAAAAAAAGACTCTGGGGTGGGAGAACAGTGATAGCACCCAATATCCAGACTGTTACCGGTGTCAGTATGGACGGGTGAAGGCTCCGTTCCCAGATATCTCCAGTCTATTTGACGTAACCGTACAGACGCCCCCCCAACCCCTGTCCATGACGTCGGCGGAGAACGCCGTACACGTTAGTACGCAACAAAGCCTGACGTCACTGCCGTCTGCGAGTGACGTCTGAAGGAGTCCTGTTGGACAGAGCGAGAAGGGACCAATTCTCGTGATATCGGAGCCGGCTGGTGTTGCACGAGAATCTATCGCAGTGAGTTGAGTGTGCAGCAGGGGCTCTTCAGTCACCAGAAAGACAGTAATAATACGGATGGTGATAAGAGGCGTCCTTGTCGGCTACCCTGTCACACTTTAGGAGAGAAGAGAAAGTAACCGGGGACGGGGAGGGAGGGGGGTGTGTGAGTGAGTGTGTCTAAAGGAGTCGACTGGGACAGGTTCAGAGTGGTGTTTGAGTTTGTCCGCAGCCTGGGCTTTGAGCTGGAGATGTCTGTGGTCGGCTTCGATGTGGGTTTCCAGAGCTGTTATGTGGCCGTGGCGAGGGGCGGCGGCATCGAGACGGCCGCCAACGAATACAGCGACAGGAGTACCCCGTAAGTAATGGCCGAGTGACGCGGGGCAGTGCAGGAGCGAGTGAATGTGCCGGTTGGTTTGAGGCCTAGTTTCTATCCGCCCCACCCCCAGCCCAGACAAGCGCGTGGCCGGCCGGGGAGGAGGCGCTGACTGACATCTTACTCATAGCCCCATGCACTTCGCCTTCTGGAATCTTCTTTCGAACTTCTCTCGATGAACAGTGGCACCAATATTTTTTTTTCCCCTCATCCAATGCCTTTGAAGTATTCGGCTTTCTTTGGTCACACTGAACGGTTGTATTTTAAATCAGCAGATATTGAACTCTTAAGAATCCAAGTTACAGTGCGCAATACCATTACTCTTGTTTCTCTCTCCACAGATGCTCCTGTTTTTGTTTCAACAAACATCGTGTTGCTTTTTCGGTATTTCAAATGTAAAAGTGTGTACTGTGTTTGGATTGTGTCTATCGCCTGCAATGACAATATTCTAATTATTATTTTAATGAGGAGTAAAAAGTATTTGGTGCTCTAAATCTATTACTTTTTCCCTGTATTTTCAGAAGTAACTACTCAAATGTCTTCATTTTAATAAGTAATATTTACACTGTAGTTGCTGTCAATTCCCACTTGACAGGCTGTAGTTACTTGATACTTATGTATGACATTACCTTCTCAGCAGACACTCTAAGATTGATCACTGTTTAAACAGTGTTGAGCAAATTCTAAATTGGAATAACTTATTTCAGTAAATGATGTGATCCCTCTTCAGAATGAAATGTGAATTTCTGCCTCTGCAAGTACTACTTGACCTGAGTGTTTGAGTTTTTGAAATCAAACTTTCAGCATCCACAGTGTTTAGTTTTCAAATTGTCATCATTCTTCCCCCTAGTTTACGTTTTCCTCCTCATTTTCCTTTCCTGCCTAGCTGAGCAACCCTGAAATTATCAAAGTATGTTGAGATGGCAATGTGCAGTATTTTGTTTGATTTGATACAGTATTGTTATTCCCAGTAATGGTTAGTTTTTTTGAGCTGCATCAGAGGATATTGATCAATTTCCTTTTAAACGTACAAAAATCAGTACAGACCTTTCAGCCCACGATGTTGTGCCGATCTGTTATCCTACTCTAAGATCAAACTATCTTGCATACCCTACATTTTACTATCCTCCATGTGCCTATCCAAAAGTTGCTGAAAAATCCGTAAAGTATCTGACTCCACTATCACTGCCAGCAGCGCATTCCACACACCCACCACTCTGTGTGAAGAACCTACCTCTGACATCTCCCCTACACCTTCCTCTAATCACCTTAAAATTATGCCCCCTCTTAATAGTCATTTCTGTCCTGGGAAAAAGTCTCTGATTATCCACTCTATCTATGCCCTTCATCATCTTGTACATCTCTATCAAGCCACCTCTCATCCTTCTTCGCTCCAATGAAAAAAGCCCTAGCTCCCTCAAACTTTCCTCATAAGACCTGCCCTCCAGTCCAGGCAGCATCCTGGTAAATCTCCTCTGCACCCTCTCTAAAGCTTCCACATCTTTCCTATGATGTGACCAGAACTGAACACAATATTCCAAGAGTGGCCTAACCAGAGTTTTATAGATCTGCAGCATAACCTCATGGCTCTTAAACTCAATTCCCCTGCCAATGAAAGGCAACACACCAGATGTCTTCTTTACAACCTATCAAATTGGGTAACAACTTTGAGGGATCTATGGATATGGACCCCAAGATCCCTCTGTTCCTCCGCACTGCCGAGTATCCTGCCATTAACCCTGTATTTTGCATTCAAATTTGACCTTCCAAAATCCTTTGATTATTCATACCGCCGACCACCTCTTGAATGCTGCATTTCCATTCTAATTCGAATTGATCAGCCTCTGACACATTGCCTGCATCAAAAAGAGAATAGCAGTGAGCTGTAGTTTGTTAATTGGCGTTTTTAGTCAATATCAACCTTTATTTCCATCTTTTCTCTTAAGTGGTTTTATTTTATAAATATTGCTAATGCCATTATGCCTATTACTTTGGTCAATTTTAAATTGCTTAAGTTGCTTGTGTTTACCTGATCCATATGGCTCATGGGGAAGAAGGGGACAGTTAGCAGAAGGCAGAAAGAGTTTTGTTTTAATTCTAAGACCTCTGGTAATTGACCCAATTGCTACAGAAAATATTTTTCTCCAAGTGTAGTCCATTATGTACTTTTGAAAACTGGGCTATAACGGCATCTGGTAATGTTAATAGCACACATTTTATAAATGCCTTGTTTTTAAATGATCATTTCTGGTCACATAGGGACAGGGAAAGTGGATGGAGACCTATGACACACAATCCTGAATCTCTGTTTACTGTGTGCAACTGGAAGGCCACCCAAAATCAGCTTTTCAATATTTTTGAAATAAGGAATGCTTGGTAGATGGCCACGAAACCTTGATGTACAGTACTTTTGAAGTTGATTTTGTTTGCTGCAAAGTCAAAATCAATGCAAATTTCTGAGTTATCCATTCTTCTTTTGAAGAAGATAAAAGAACAGATCCTATCAAGATAAATTGCATCAGTTGAGGGTGGCTTGCACCTGCTGTTAACCCACATGGTTATGACAACAAATTGAGGCAGTTCTACCCAGGTGCCTGTCATCTGTAAAGTATTAATGGATTGTCATCTGAAATTTTGATCCACAGCGAAGTATCTCCATAGACTTTATCACAGGACATAATTCGCTTACAGGTTACATTATACAAGTGGGTTTATCTGGTAGTATCTGCATCAGGGAAAATTGGCAAGTAAGAGGGCATTACATTTTCCTGCATCTCCTGACTTCCCAAAGTCCTAGGGCATTACTGATGGTGCCATTGTTACACTCCAGACACTTAATTACAATGTAATGGCTTTTGTGAACTGCAAAAACTACATTCCATCAATGTGCAGATGGTTTGTGTACTGAAACACAGGACCATGCAGGTGATTGTCTAGTTCCTATGTAGCACGTATAATTTGATTTTCAGAATCATCAGCGGGCTGTTTGAAAAACAGTGGAAGAATTGATTCCTCAAAGAACAAGGCTTTTGAAGCCTTTTGAATTGCAATCTGTAATACAATTGCACAAGTTATAAATATGTGCATGGCTGACAGGAAAATTGAACATTTTTTTTCTATAAGCATCCTAAAGCAGCTCATCAGACACTGCACAGTTTGCTTCAATATTAAAATGCAACCCTTAAGGATTTCTGTGTTAATATCTGATGCACACTGCACAACTTGATCAACCAGTAAGATTGAGAAGATCCATCAACAGTGGAAGGAAGAAGGGGGTTCTGAGGAAGGGTCACCAGACCCAAAGCGTTAACTCCATTTTTTCCTTCACCGCCAGACCTGCTGAGCTTTTCCAACCACTTTTTGTTCCTGTGTTTGAACAGTGAAAAGAGGATTGATTAGGGTAGTCAATGGATAGTATGTACATGGATTTTAGTAAGGCATTTGAAAGGCCCTGTATGGTAGACTGGTCAGTTAAGTAAAAGCCTATGGGATACAAGGGAATTTGCTGAGTTGAATCCAAAATTGGCTCAGTGACAGGAAATAAATGACAATGATTGCATGTCTTTGCAAATGGAAATTGTTTTTTATGATGTTCCACACAGCTGGGTGTTGTCCTCTTTGTGTGAGTTAATGGTTTGGACTTAACTGTGAAAGGCATGATTGCAGATGACTCAGAAAAAGGCCTTGTAATTGATGGTCAAGAGGATTGCTGTTGATTCCAGAATGATATCAGTGGTCTGGTCGAGTGGGCAGAAAAATGACAAATTGAATTAAATCAAGGAAAACAAGGTAACGCATTGGAGTGCATATCCAAAAGTCCTTTTGAAGATAGCAGAATAGGTAGATAAGATGGTAAAGCGGAGATGTGGAACGCTTTCCTCTGGGTGAGGCATAGAATACAAAGAAAGGGGCATAATGCTGGAACTATAAGAAATTAGTTAGACTACAGCTGAAATCTAGTTTATAGATCTGCATTTGAGGAAGGACTGAATTGTTCTGGGGAGTTTGGAGATCTGCAAGAACACAGTCAGAGCTTGAAAGTTGTAGTAATGAAGAAAGATTGGATAGGAGATAGTAGGAGCTGCAGATGCTGGAGAATCCGAGACAACAAGGTGCAGAGCTGGATGAACACAGCAGGCCAAGCAG